TGCATCTCCAACCGGGTCTAACAGCACGCTTGAAACGTATATGACACAGATCTGATCAGATAGGAGAAAGATAAGGATGACAACGATAATAGTAGCTCGGAAAATAACTATCATCGTAGCATCCTCTGCATCACCAATGCTTTCTAACCCCACACTTGAAAGGTGTAGAAAGACACATCTTTGAGGTGCAAAGGATGCTACGATGACGGTATTGCTTACGCTGATAATGTTGAATCTTCGGATATGCTCATTTACCAACCCACCTTGGACTTGTGCTGTAACCACCCTTCCCGTGCGCCTCCCCCTTTCAGGAGAAGGGGTCGGCGGATATGTTTAGGGCTCCATTGCTCCAGCTCTTTGGGTTTTGCGTTTTGTAGAGAACGTCACCCACGTTGCCGAACCCACCAGAACGTGAAGGGTAAGTCGTGTGGATCTCCGTGCCGGGGGCATAGTTTTTCCATCCATCACGGGACTTTGGTCATAGAAACCAGCTACAGGACTTTCTACAGGAATTGGGCAAACACCCACCAAAGACAAGGATTTCCTGGCAGCCTGTGCTGGTGTCGAAGGGTAGCGCCATGATTCTGATGTGAACATGGTTGAAACAGGTCAGCCCAATGCATGCCCGTTTCCGGAAAAGGGGCTTCCGCACGTTGAGACGCTTGAATATTATATTTTGACTTATCGCGCAGCGAATTTACACACGCCGAGTACCGTCCCTTGCTTTGTGCTTCACCGGGGCCCTCTTCAGTACCTACTCACCAAATTCCCATGTCAGCTGGGGTCCATTAAATGCATGCATTGTGGGGAATTGTTGCCCTCTATCTAGGACCAGGGTACCAACTCAGGAAGAGACACCCATAAATAAGTCGCATGTGCACGCTCAGCCGAGCCTGGCGAGGTATGGGTGTTTTTCCTCCTGAGGCGGGGTTGCGGAGCTCGGTTTGAGACCCTAGACACCACACCCCACAGGTATTTAAAGAGAGACCAACCGGACACCTACGATGTTCGAAAAGACACTCACAGTTGGGCTTCAACAGCCTTAGTGCAGGGCCAAGCAAGGCCGAACAAGACCTCAACCGCGGGGTGGTGGGGCTTGTTTGACAACTCTGTGGTTTCAGAAGAAGAGTATTGGCTTTACCAGGCTCCCTGTCCCTTTGACATTGGGGCTTCCTTATGCCCCTTTGGCATCACCTCAGCGGCTTTGAAAAGGGGGGATTTCTATTTGAACCGCCCAAGCACCCAAAGATTTAGGTATGAATAAGGATATTGGAGGGTGTTGTTCCTAGTGAGATTACTACATTTTCAGCGAAAGGTGCTTGCGGCGACTGACTGCAACCCCCAACCTTTCCGCCTTCCAGTTGCAGGCTGCGGGTGTCTACGGGGGCAACAACCTGCGCCTCCAGGGAGCCCTTGGTGTGGAAGATTGAGCAGGCCGCTTTCCATCACGAATTTAAGCGAACTCGCAAGTGCGTTCCGATGCGGCGGCAAATGACATGGAGGTTACGATTCCCAGCTTAGAGGGCCCTTTCCCCAAAACAAGCAGGGCAAAGTCACCAAAAGCAGTTGGCCGCACCCTGAATCCAGGGCAAGCGCTTTGCCTACATCGTAGGGCACTCAGCCAATCGGACCCAGGTGGGTTTCGAAACCCCAAAGACACAGAAGACCCAGAACTCATCTGAGTACCATGGTGACTTGACGCTTTTCTGTTGCCATAGCCATTCCAGAAAACTGGCAGACTTCTTGGACCGTGGCGCATTCGGAGTCCGCACATCGCCATCCTTTCTGCCCAGGCGGGGATTTCGCACATCCCCTCCAGCAAGACGCCTCCCCTTGAAGGAGGGCCACTGGCGGAGGCATGGGGAACCTTGTCCCAGATGAAACAGAATTCCCTGCTTGAATACCAGCAGAAAACGATCCGCACCACTTTTGTAAGTGCCTTTTTTTGATCCGCTTCGTATTTGATGGATACCCACGCGTGTGTGTGTGTGTGTGTGTGTCACAGTGTGTGGGTGGGTGCGTGGGTGGGTGCGTGCGTGCGTGCGTGCGTGCGTGCGTGCGTGCGTGCGTTCGTGCGTGTGTGTGTGTGTGTGTGTGTTTTGTTTGAGGGTACCCTTTTCTGAACTAAAAGGCGAACTACCATGATTGAGGTCCCCTATTTTGACACACAAAAACACACACACACACACGCACCCAGACACATGGTGTCCGCCAAGGGGTCCCTACAAGTGCGCAGAGTCCTTCTCTTCGTGAAGAGAGGCATTGTCCTGCTGCGACGTGGCCTACTTTCCCACTGGCTGCTCCTTGGTACTTGCCTCAGAGCCGCCCCTCTCATCTTGCCATGACACCTGCCAGGGAAAGTTGATCTTCTAGGTACCCTCAAGGCACCTTCTGTTAGTGTGTAGTCAGAGGTTGGCATGGGACAATCCAAGCCCTTTACTTTTTTTAAAGGTATCCTCCTTTGATGCCATAACTTTTCTTCATGTCGCAGTATGACCCTGGGCGTGGCTCTCCACTGTATGATAAAGCTTGTAGCTTGCTGGATGCTTATCCCTTGGTCTCTTGCTGTGGGCTCGCTCTTGAGATTCGTTCCCAGTCAAATGAACCACACCGGCCCAAATATCCAGTTTCCGGTGGGAAATCTCTTGGCCCCTGCGGCTGTGTGCTTTTCGTGCCGCCACCATGGCATTCTCTGTCTCCGTTCGGGGTGAATCAGTGGCATCTCCATTTTGCTGGCATTCCTTGTTCAGGCGACAGGGACTGCGTGTATGTGCGAGACTGTTTCCTTGTCAGCCAAGCAATGCCTACTCAGAGTAATGTCTCAGAGAAGACAGCCTTGCCTGAAACCCCAGCCATGGCGAGGCCGATAAGAGCAACGTGACGGGGGTGGGGCACTACATGGCGTGCCCGGAAAGTTTGGGGGTGCGAAGCGGTCCTTGCGCAGGGTTCCAACTGGATATCCAAACAGGAGCCAATGGAGCTGATTCTACTTTTGGTGTGGTTGGAACATAGAGACGCGGAGGTGGACAGGGGGGGGGGGGCGATTCAAACAACAACTTTTAGTCTTCCGCAGCCATTCTGTCAGCCTCCACGAGGGTGAAACCCAAGCCGTTCGCATACCTCTTGCCTTTCGCCAGTCCCACTGTTCCTACTACCCCGTGCTGCGGCAAAAGGACTGACATGGGAAGGCAAATGCGGTCTCTGGGAGATTGCACCTAACCTGAGGTAATGAGGATAAACAACCTGGAATGGGGCGGGGGCGGGGGAATTTTGGAGTGGGAGGCAACCTTAGAAGAACCCTTCGGAAGCGCCTTGAAAGGGACAGGAAACCGAGACAAGCCATGTTGAAATGGGCATGCCCGCCCAAACTTTCACGGAGTTCAGGAGCCCGTCAAGGGGGGGGGGATGAGCAACAAGACAAACGCAATGTCGATGGTTCCCCCCCGGCCCCGCCCCCAGTCTCAATTTGGATTTGCTCTCGGAGGCTGAGCCTCACAGGTAAAGCGGTGGTTGAACGCGAAGACGCGCATTTCAAGAGTCCGCCAAGGGTGAGAAGAGTCTTTTTTCGGTCCCCTTGGGTGTCTTTTAGGAGTTGGTACCTGTTTCTTCGGGTGGGTTTCAACGGAAAACGAAAGGAGTTCACCCATTTATATAGGTCAGCCAACTGCGACGGAAAGCCAACTATGCCGATAGAGGACACCATAGCGGAGCGGCTGGCGCCGCAGACCCTCACGGATTTGCAGGACGCGGGAGTACCGTTGAGAAAAAAATGGGTGTTTCTCAAATGGTGGGTCCCTTTTTGTTGGTTTTAAAAAAGGAACCCATATGTGACATAGCCCAAATATTAAATAGGGTGTCCTCCTTCAAGAAACAGTCAGCTGGGTGAGTGTTTTTGATGCCATTTTGGCCCCGGGGTAGGGAGGCCAAGCGGAGAACCGAAATCCATATTTTGGTGTGCCCATTTTTTTTGACCTCATGCCTAAATGGGCCAGGTCCGGAAAAGTCACAGTGGGAGCCTGTCATATTTTCGCGCTATCAAAACCCTCCTGAAAGATCTTCAGAATCAGAAGGCATCGACTAGATAGACTGAAGGGTTGTATTGATTACCACTTGTGTTGTGAATAAAAGCTCCAAGCGAAGTCGTCTCTCATAGGTTTGTTTGGAAAACAAACTATCCGCCTGCATGGACTCCTTTGAGAAATAACATTGGTTGAGACACGCGGATCTTTGGCGTGCCTTGATGCGTGCACCGCGTGCGATCTTGGCGAAACAAATCTTTGCTACCCGCTTTTCTTCCCTCTGTTTCTAATTGTACTGCACGCCTCACGTCTTACGGCTGTACGGCGGTAGACGCGCATTGCAAATTGAGCGGACACTTGGGGCTGGCTGTCTTAACAAGCAGCGCAGTAACGCCCTTTTCACTGGACGGTAGTGGACTCGTTTTAGTCGTACGTGTTCGTTCGTCAGCTATTGAGCTGAATCAACGAACAAAAGCAAGGAAGGAATCAAAATGCAAAACAAAAACATGTACAGAGGTGTTTCTAAAAGTAGGCTCCCTCTTCGGGATGGCTTTGAGGGAAGCCAGAATCGAATCAACCGCTTGAAGGGGTGCCTAATCTTGACAACCCGACCCAGTTTTGGTTTGGAGATGTTGAAGCAAAGGGCTGAAACCTGATCGACGGTCAGGGGGCACTGGACAAGTTGGTCCAGTACGCTCCGCCAGCTTGCAAGTCCACCGCGGCAGAGTTTCAAGCGCTCGGATCTCAAAGTCGAGTGAATGCCGATTTTACTTTCCAGCAAATTGACATGGCACCCACAATCGAGGGTCCCTCGAAAAGGAAGTTCCTCCCAACATGATGATTTGTTGGGTTCCAATTCCACAAGTTGGCTTGATGTTTTCCTTCTGAACCAGCCTGGTGATTTAGGGAGGCAGCAACGTATGCACTCAAACTTGGAGTAAAGACCGAATTTGGGGATGAGAGGTGAAGGGGGAAAGGGACCCCAATCTGGTTGCCTTTTTTCCAACGACGGAGGGTGGACAGTAAGTAGTGGGTGTGTCTTGAACCAGTATGCGCCCCCCTTCGAATCCTTGTGTTGTTTGGGTTCCACCTTTAGATTCCAGCCAAGAACATACTACCGCTCCCCTTGACTGTCCCCGCTTTGATAGATGGGGTCCCATCACCCATCAATACTTTTTGCCCCTTTACACCCCATCCAGGTCCCTTGCCCGAATGGCACCCCACACGGAGCACAGAGCCTCTTGACCTCGTGGTTTTCCTGTCATGGGCCAAGGTCCCAAAACAATCCTTTTAGGCCTTGAGCAAGTGAAGGGTCCAGAAGCTCAGTGGCCTCGTGGGGGCGATCAGGTCGGTGCAGAACTTGAATTCCACCGACTACCGGCTTACACTGCTCTCTGTCTTTCACAGAGGCACCCTGGCCACAGCTGGATGGGCTCCATCCCGGGGCTTTTTGATGAATCCCCCCCCCCCCCCGGCACTTTTTGGGATGGGAAACCAAAAGGAAAGCTAAAAGTAAGAGGGAAAGCCACCTAAAAGTCGAGCGAGTGAACCTGAGAAGGTTAGGACAAATCCACTATATGACCACAACACAACCACTTCACAACTACTACAGAAACACTACATGGAACCATGTATCTGCGATAACAACCACACAACCACTGCACAAAGGTTATTTATCTTTCCTGTGGACACTGCATACCTGAGAGCCCGGCATCGGGAGGCCTCGAGGCCATCAACCCCTTGTGGTGCGTCGACCCGGGCCTCGCCGCCGCGGTTCGGTCCAGCTGGTGCTTGGGTGAGGGGTAGTTGGCGCATGTTTTGTCCATTTTGGTGCTGTCATCTCTTGTACCTACCCCTAGAAAAGAGAATTGTGCCATCTATCGTCACCCTGATTCACTGATGTAGTGGATTGTAGACATGCGGGACGAGCTCTAAATTTCGACCAACGTTTCCAAGCCGAAACTTTACCATGTGCTCTCTTGCTGTTTGGACAATTTGAGAGGTTTGTGGCAGTCTTGGGCCACCAGTACACCTCATTGGTGGTTTGGAGACACCCGGAAAACCAAACCAACGGGTAAGGCGATTTGTTTTGCAGGGCCTCAAAGGATATTGTTTTGCAGGGCCTCAAAGGATATGGATAGGGACATTGCCAAAATACAGGTGGTTTTCAGAGGAATCCTGTCAGGAGCCCTTTTTGGAGACTTGAGCTTTGACAGCCAGGTGCCAAGACGCTGGACACCTACCTGCGCCAGGAGTGGGGCCAGCGGAAGCCTATCTTTGGTCCGAGCGCTCAGTGCGTCTCGCGGTTAAAACTGAAGCTTTTCAACCGCGTGTGCTTTTGGTGGTGGTTTCAGACGTGACCTTTTGGGCCACTTTAGAATAAGTTCTCTCTTGGCGGGGTGATGTTGAAAGGGGAACTATAGGGATCGCTGTTCTTCTGGTGTCCTCTTCAAACCACTCCCAAGCAGACTCAAGGCCTTGAAGACATCGCTGTGGAATGCCAGGCGCGCATGTGGTGTCGCTTTGTCGGTTTTTTGAGCTCCGCCCAAGCACGCACGTGCCCGTACCCAAGACATTGAGTCATCGACCATCTGATTTCTTCGGAGTTTCACACTGGCGGGATAGGAGCAGGAGGGTTTTGGTAGTTGTGTTTTCAAAGCTGCACATAAGTTAAAGGAAACTGCCGACTTGTCGAGTTCCGACTGGCTTTTCGCATCGCTGCAAAGCATCCGCCTTTGCGATTTCGAGGCCTTTCAAGGCCACGACGTCGAGCAAGACCAGGATTTGGCGAGGCGTGGCCACGCTGAAAGACGGGAAGTGCGTGTTGCTTCATCTCCGTGTTCTAGTGGGGGGTTGTCAAAGAATAGGGCTGGTTCCTGAAAAGGGAACCCCGGTCCCGCCGGTACGTGCCACCTTCTAAGGGTGCCAAAGGACCCGTGGTTGTGATGGAGCTCCTAGTGAACAACGCCTGACCTTCCAACAGGTCTTTTGGTTTTCCTTTGGCCCATCCAGAAGCTGGGCCAAGGAAGCTGCGCGTTGTGTGTTTCAAGGGGTGAGAGCTTTTCGAAGGGGCAACCAACGCAGGTAGCAGTGGAGGTGGTCACTTTTGGAAGCCAAAGCGGACATGTCCTGCCTGAAACCATTTTGCGAACCAACGTGTTGTGGGTGTGTGTGCCCTTGTGTCAGGATGGGGGCGGGAACTACATTCCCTCTCGAAGGAAAAAGCCAATCAATCACGCGGGTCTATAAGGCCCGACTAATTAAGGTGCTTCCAAACCATGTTTAGTCATGATCATGAGAAATCATGTGAGTGTGTGTGTGTGTATGTATTTGGGCGGTTATATTCCTGCAGAAAGCAAAAAGTGTTGTCCCTTCTTTTCCCCTCAGGTACATGGCATCGCATTTCACCGACGAGTGGCTCACTCAGAAGTCCAACCTGGAGGCGTTCGTAGCCGTTGCGCGAGAGAGGGGTCGGCTGGTGCCCAGTTTATGGACACCTACCAGTGGAATCAAGTTTATTTTTTCCCCCGAAGTTTTTGGGCTTCGGTGCCGAGATTTCTTACATGGACCCGAACCTGGCCTGAAATGGACATTTCTCATCATGAAGACCCCTGACAGCTTAGCAGTAGCTTGTTTTAGCTTCTTTTTTTCCGACAGGAAGGCATGGAGGAGGTGATGAAGTGCGGGGATTTGACCAACTTGAGGAAGCTGGTGGACCACATGAAGGACAGGGCCCCCTTTCAGACCTTCGGGCCCAGCCCCGCAAAAGCCGTGGGTGCGAGGACTTTTCTCCCGAGCTTGAAAGAGCTTGAAACCATCTGGTTCGATTCTTGGCAGCCCTGGGTTTTTGCGTATCGCAGGGAGACCAGCATTGGAGGATTGAGTGCTGGGTGATCACCCGTCTTCTCACCCATCGTTCCTTCTATCCCTCCCCATTTCCTCGAAACGACTGTGTTTCCGAGTTGGGAAGCAACGCATGACGCTCGTTGGCGAGCAGAGGACCTTCCCTTGCGCAGCGTGGCCGACCTGCAGCAAAGGAGGGGTGAAGCTTCTCCGCGGCTAATCCGGCGAGCCTTTGGCAATGAATGTTTATAGGGAGCCACCTGGAAAGTGGTGCACGACTCCCAACCTAGATGATGTCCACCAAAGAGTCCCCCTATAAAATTCACACGCACGAAATGGTTGACTTTCTCGAGGGCTTCCGCAACGTTTTTCTTGAACGTGATCAGGGTTCTTCTTTTTTTGTGGATGGGCGTCCTACAATTTGTGCTATTTCAATGAATTCACTGTCAGACCCCCGGACCACACCCCTTGATCATCAAGCCTTACAGGGAGGCAGCTGGGACCGCTCTAATAACATGATTTTGCAAAAGATCGACTCAATCTCATTTTCATTGGAATCCAAGGCCAAGTCAGTCATGCAGATGGGGTCCAGAGTGTGGGTCTCCAGACTGACATGGATCTGTCTCTTTTTATGGGAACGCTCTTTTGGGTTGGTTTTAAAGGGAAATTCAAAGGAACCATCCATGTTCAAAGTCCCGAAACTTTGGGACACCCCAACATGCGCAGGAATCACAACCTCGCCTTTGGCGTGAAGAAAGCCTTGGAGGCCAATCCGGGCAAGGCGAGGCGAGCATTGCCGTTGGATTTTTTCAGGCTGCCGGGCTCGAAGGCCGCTTCAACCGGGGGGGAGCTTTGAGCTTGAAAGGTGTGGAGTTGCATGCATTTCTCGTTAAGGAACTGATAATCAAAACAACATGGCGTCCTGTTGGTTGGGGGAAGCGGCATGTGAGTGTGCCGTTTGACCCCCAAATCCAACATGCATCCAGCCTTTCTTCGAACCTGGCGAGTTCCACACATGGAACAGAAGGGAGCCCCGTCAAATCCCAAAGCAATTAGTTTCCGTTCAAAACAACCAACAGGTTTTGGTGAACCACCAACAGGTTTTGGTCCTTTACACCCTAAAACGGCCGGCTTGCTCCCAAACCAACCAAAGGTTATTGCCCCCTGAACAACAAAACATGCGCCAGACAAACTCGATCGGTTGCGATCGCCAGAACGTGTTCTTCGCTGTCCCTGTGACACATTTGGTGGATGCTGCGGGCCACACGGGGGTCCTGTCGCTCCTTTCCAAGGCGCCCGCGCAGTGGCCGGGTCCTGGTGTCTTTTTTCTTCAGCATACCCATTCCACCTTTGGTGTATTTTAGCCGTGGCGTGTCTTAAAATAGGTGGTTGCCAGGATCCTTGAAAGGGAAACGGAAAGGACACTGAAAGGCACCTGGACATTTCCATGTGTCTGTGCACACGGGTGTGGTTTTCGCTAGGTTTCTCTTCGAACCAACTCCGCAACTCAGAAAAAGACACCCAAGGGGTTGACACACAAAAGAGAGCAGGGCAAAGCAGCTCTTGATAGTTTGCCCAGAAGGATTGCATCAGCAACGGGGAAAAGCTGTTGCCACAATGGAAATGGAGGAGAGAAGGGATGTGAAGGCTTGAGAGTCCCGCTGGCTCTTTGTTGGCATTTGAAGAATCCCCCCCCCCCCCCGTGTGAACTACAGGATTTTTCGATCGAATCTTTAGGCCTTGGTGTCCGTTAACCAAGTTGGCCAAGTTCTCGGGTGTTGGCTGCGTTGCTCAATTGAGGCATGTTAAGACTAAAACCTGAGGGCACAGAGCATACCAAACAAGAAGAACAAGGGATGGTGAAGGCTGCCTTCTAGCAGATCTCAAATCTGAAACTTGGGATCTCGCTTCCACTTGGCCGCAGAAAAAGCCCAGCCGCGCAAGCAGTCCGTTTTTTCGACCGGCTTCGCTAAAACGCATTTCTTGGCCATTGACTTGGTTGTACTCGCCAATGGATTCGAATCCCTGGGGGTAAAACGAATCCAGGTCACCCATAGCTGTCTTTCTTGGGGCAGTCCTTATTTCAGGTTTATGAATTTTAATTGTGATAGCACTCCCAGAACCTTTTCTACAGCTCTTGATTGAGAAAACAAGCCGCTCCCGTGGCATCATAGGTTATGAGCCCAAGCTTCGTGTAGTGCAACAGGGCGGCCCACGGAATCGACTTCGGCAGCTTACCCAGCCGTTGAGGAGGCGGAGAACCGGAGGGGGATGGCGCCATCCTGGAGCTGATCGCCCAGGAGGGTCGCGCCGCTGTGGCAAGAGGGGAGCACAGAGGCGTGGTGATGCCGGCGGAGGAGCTGGCGACGCCGGAAAGGCGTGGAACAAGCGCGGAGGCAACCGAGGAGCAGCTCCACTGATTCGTGGACAGCAGCGACCTGGGCTTTGCCTGCAGGAGACCCGGAGCAGGAGGGCAAGGATGGATTGGTCTACCTCCTGCAGAGGATGGCGCAGAACCAAAAGCTCGACATGGGTATAGAGAGCCAGTTGGTTAAGCTATTAACGGCTAGAGAGTGGAGAGTGGCATGTCCACAATCTGTAAGAAGCTATAAAAGTGTTCGCGCGGTTTATTGGGAGCACCCTTTTTTGGAGCTGTTTTGGATGAACTTGGTCCCTGTTCAGGGAAAAGGTTTCCCCTTCGCAGCAATTTCTTTGTCTCTCGCGAGGAGGGGCTGCAGCCGCAGCGCCAGTTGACGCCTTCGGGCTGCCAGGCAGGGATCAAGTCCAAAAACGCTCAGTTTTTGTTGACGCGCGCCAGAACATCTGGTTTTCTTGGTAACCGCCTTTTTTCCTCGTCAACCCTGGTACTGGCTTGGCTGTGTAAACAAAAATGCACTCTCATATATGCTCTGTTGGTTTATGGGGTATATATCCAAGTCCTTTCCCTCTCGTCACAATTTTCGGCCAGATTCCACTTGCCGCACTTCTACCTTGAATTGGTTTAGGTTCAGCTTGGACAGGGGTATGTGCCAAACTAGGGATAAAACTCCGATTCCCCGATGCTGACTCGGCAGGCGTCCAGCTGGGAAGCGCCCGGAGCTGCGGCCACGACCTTGACAGTCTGAGTCGACCGGAAATGGGAGCCACACGATGTCTAAGTTCCTCTTCCCCTTAAGCCTTTTCTAAAGACCAAGATGAAACAAGTGACCAAGGTTAGCAGGGCAGTCCCAGCCATAAAGAATGGCATTTGTCAACTCAGTATTGGGTGGTCAGGGTTGTATTTAAGGAATTGTCCAGGGCGGCCCCGTACACTGATCGGCTTGCGATGACGAAACGACCCCGACATGGCCACAAGTGCCTAAAATTAGGCTCGCTGACCTCCGAAGAGGCACATATCGCCTGCTTGAACTTGAGGTCGACGTCAACCTGTGCTCGTTGTTGGGAATGTCACACCGACAGCTTACACGCATGGTTTCCGCCCTTGCGCGGGACTATTGTTTACAATAAAACTATGAAACCACATTTCTTTGCTTACCGACTTTGTGTCGCGACAGTCCTGACCCCCCGGCCCCCCGGCCCCGCCGGCCGTATACAAAAACTTGTTTTGGAAAACAGCCGGGATGTGGGTTGGGTAGGAGGTCCATGTGCAGGAATCCTTAAATACCGAGCAGCCTCAAAGGCGCCACACGAATTTAAGGAATTGTGTCGGAAGGGGGGGGAATCCTTAAATACACCCCCCCCCCCGAATTTAAGGAATTGTGTCGGAGGGGGTGGGGGAGAGGGGGGGGGGGGTGAACTCCTCGAATGCAACCCCCCCTCGAATTTTAAGGAATTGTGCCCGCGGGGGGGGGGCTGAACCCCATCCCCCCGAATTTAAAGAATTGTTTTGAGGCATGGGTTTCTTAAATTTCATGACAAATCAGTGTTTTTGGCTTGAATCCAGACCTCAAAATCACTAAATTTGAGGTATGTTTTGCTAAGAAAGTTTTTGTGCAGGAACTTTATGAAATACATGCCTCAAAACCAGCGGCCAGCCTTACCCCCCCTGTATTTAAGGAATTGGGGTTGTCTTAAGGTTTTCCCCTTCCCCATCTCTGAATTTTGGGTGGCACGGGAGTGGGCGGGGGGGTGGAAAATCATTAAATTTGGGGGGGGGGGGGGTGTTTTTAAGGATTCTTCCCCCTCCCCCGGGCACAATTCCTTAAATTCCGGGGGGTTGTATTTAAGGATTCCCCCCCCCCGGCACGATTGCTTAAATTCGTTGGCGGAGGGGGGGTGCGTTTAAGGCTGCTCGGTACAGCCAGGCTGTTTACAAAAAAACGTTTTTGTATACGGCCGGTGGGGGGGACTGTCGGGACACACGGTCGGTCAGCAAAACAAAATGTGGTGTCATAGTTTTCTTGCCCTCGATCGGCGTGTCTTGACATTTGCGCAAACACTAGTCCCGCGCAAGGACAAAACACAATGCGTGTAAACTGACAGGTCCCATAGATACATATATATATATATATATGCTAACCCCCCCCCCCCCAGGTACCCAGGTTTGGGCTTGGTTCAGATGTGCTTTGACCTCGGAAGCAGGCAAGAAGAATAGCTCAGATTTGCACACTGGGAGACCAGAGGAAGGAGGTTTGCCTCATTGAAGAAAGACGCCTTGGACGTGACCCATGCCCTTTTTCAATGGCTCTTCCGAACAAAATTCAATTCACATATCTTCCCACGCAAACCATGCCTTCTTTCAAAGGCTCTTCCACAGATAACTCACATATCTTCCCCACACAAACCATGCCTTGTTTCACTCAAAGACTCTTCCACAGAAAATTCACACATCCTCTCACCCAACACATGTCTTTTTAGAAGACTTCTTTCAATGAAACAAAGGCAGCATATGTGAAAGAGTTGCCAAGGAAAGTGAACCCTGTGTAGAATCAAACCAGGCTATGGCTGGGACAGTTTGTGTTACATAAATGGTGGTTTTACATGATATTTACTGTCTTTTGCTGTACTTTTATGAATCACTGTAACCCTGACTCTTCCACAAAGACCCACATATCATCTCACACAAAACATGTCTTTTTCAATAACGCTTCTCTACAGAAAAATCACATATCCTCTCACCCAGAACATGTCTTCTTTCACAAAGGTTCACATATCCTCTCATGCTCCGCAAATGTTGCGCAACATTTGGAATTTGTTGCGCAACATTTCCCTGGACCAAAAAACCAAAAACAAAAAAACCAAAGAATCCCAGCCATGGTGGGGGCCAGGATTGGTTTTTTGGTTTTTTGGTTTTTGGGTTTTTTGGTCCACAAAATGGCCTTGCAGAAAATGCATGAGATCAATCAAAATACACTGTAAATATCAATGTTTTGATACATGATGCAACAACACCTGGGTACTGGGGGGGGGTGCCATATATATATATACACACACATATGTGCCCAATGGCAAATGGGCCAATTATCAGTTTAAATGTCCCGACGGCCTCACGGCATGATTTCAACAGAAATGACCTGAACTGCTTTTGGCAGGATCTTAAACGCAACCCCCCCTCAATAAGCAACCCTAATACTGTTGGATCGTATACAGCTTTTACATCAGGTTTTGATTTTGACTCAAGTGCTGTTTTCCCTCCAAAGGAAAACAATGGGAGATAGGAAATTGTTCGCCTTTACAAAAGCTTTCTATGTGGCACCCACACCTCAGTTCTTGCTTTCTCTTCTGTTGTCCCACACCGCCGCATTTCTCGTCAACTCCAAAAGTGAACCTGTTGTTTTGGCCCAGGTCAAAAGCAACTCCATTTTTTTGCCTGATTCTAAGAATGACCCAGGAGGTCCTCGTACCATGGTAACCTCAAACCCCTGTGTTGGGAGGTTCCACATAAGCCTGTGTTGGACATATGGGTTTCCTGCCCCAGCAAGGATTTCCCTGAACAACCTACCAGTTACCAAGACAAGAGTTGTGTGTTCGCCCGGTAGGTTTTCTCTGTGCTTTTTGCGCTGCACCTGGTCTTTCGGCCGGCACCCCCGTAGGCGCTGGACCATTGCCTCAAGCCGCCCGCGCAGGCCGAGCCGGTGTCTACAGCTATGAACTTCCGCAACCGGGTGTTTCTTTTGAGGCCACCTGTTTGAGGCTGTTTTAAACGGACAACAAAAGCAAAACACTCAATTGGAAAATCCCCCCGAAAACGCACATCCAACTGGTCGGCTTTTAGGGATCATGAACATTTGGCAATTTTCCCCCAAAATCGAGCAGACGAGAGAGTTCTGGGCCTGTTTTGTTGGCGCACCGACCAGCGGGCACATCCTTTGCATTCGAAACAGGAGATTTCCGATTTCCTCTCCAGGATTCCTTTCCTTTTTGCGCCAGTCGCAGCCGCCATCCTGCATCCAGTTCGAGAAACAGTTTGGTCAGATCTTGGGGAAGGAGCCGCCGGCCTTTGCATCGTTAAGCTTCGGTGCACCGCTCAATTCTTGTCGCTTATCACGGGATTGGTCAAGCGGTGTATCAAAGCCACCCAAGAGGCTGAAAGGAAAGACGGCCGGTCCATACACCTCCCGCGTCCGAATCATCGGGCCCCGCCTGTCTTGGGATGTGCAGATTGGCAATCCACGAACTACGAAACGATTTTGTATTTTTTTTTCTGTGCAGGGGCTTTCCAATGGGGCCCCCCAGTTAGGATGGGGAAAAATCAACTTGGAAGAGTGCCGGCCACTAGGACATGCTGCATGGAAGGAAGGTGGTGCCAGGACCAAAGCCGGGAGCCTCATTCGGATCTGTTTCTCAGGGAGCAGTTGGGGTTTCTCCAAATAGGAATCGGTCCCTAAAATAGCAAGGGTTTCCTTTTGGATTCCCTTTCAGGTTTCCCTTTCCAAACAAGAAGGGGGCTTTTCCAGCATTTTGAGAAATTCCCTTTGCTTGTTCGTATGTTTTGTCTTGCAGCGCAGGTGCGCCGAGTGTGTGAACTCCACGTCTTCTTGCAAGTGCGAGGCGCTGGAAGCTGTTCATTGCTTGCACTTGCAGATCACGAAAGCACTGCTGGAGTTGTCCTACCCAAGCTAGCTTAGCAATCCTGGTGTCTGGGCGTGGGCTCAAGCCAAAATCGCCGAGTCTTCTTGCTAAAACAAAATGATCATGCGGGATTCTTGGAGGATGTCTTTAACCATTTGCACATGATTGCACGCAAGGTTGTAGGCTCCATTCCCCCCTGTCACCGTCCCCAAGCTGTGCCTCTTGCTTGCTCGCTTTCGTTCCCGCCTCGGTCAAGTGGAGTGCCTGGCAGATGAAGTGGACAAACTACGATAGTTTTGTGAACCTCTGCGAGAGCACGCAAGTGGCACGCGCCTCAGGGGCAGAGGTAATAGGGACATCCGTGCCACGGTCAAAAGATCCGCTTGCTGGGGTTTTCTAGGGACAGTCATGAACCCCTGCATAGGGAATCAGGCAACCATTGTAGCGGTTCCCTCCATGATGCGGATTCCTTTCTTAGGGGGTCCGGCGTATGCTCAAAAGGCATGTTGGACAGTTCTTGGCACACACACACACAAGAGAAGTCTTGACCATGGCAAATATGATTCCCGTGTGTCTTGAGAGTTTCCAAGGGCTAGTTTTGTCTAACTGCCCTGTTTTCGGTGCACCTCCCCACTCTACCCTCAACTGGGGAGCTATACTCTCTGGTTTGAAGGACAATAGTATATAGGTTGTAGCTTTTGGGGGTACAGTATAAGGGGAATATGGTGACAGTTGATGTTTTGGGTTTTGGAGCTTCAAACATGCTGCAGGGCAGCAACTGCCCACCTTTCCCTCACGGCCAGGATGGCTCTCATGGGAAGGTGTACTATCTGGAGCCAATCTCAGATGTGTCTCAAGGGATTTGTGGTGGTCGTTTCGTTTGGATTTCGCTCAGGCCCCGAAAACGGGAAGTCCCTTTTTCCTTTCAAGCCGTCCAAGAAGGGGGCCCTATCTCGAGAACCCAGATCCTGGGTCCTGTTCTGGAAGCTGTGCCGAGGACATGATCCGCAACCCGGGTTCCACACGAGATGGGCGCGCCAAGTCATCACATGTGGCAGGGGTCCAACTCAATTTCCAAGTTTTTTGATCCTCAAAAAGCAACAGTTCTGTAGATGGACAAAAATCGCAGTTGGGATTTGTGGTGTATCAAGCAGAATTCCATCGGGTGGGTGCCAATCGGCGTGGATATCATTCGAGCCCAGCAGTAGCTTGCAGAAAGAAATCTATTTGATGAACCTTGATTGGCCTTGGACCGACGTGAGGGTTTTATTTTATTTACTTTTTTGAGGGTATCTCTTTGGGGCTGCTGCCAGGCAGGCATTGGCGGAAAAGACCGTGGGCGCCACAGTTGCGCATCCATGGATTGCGAAGGTAGACTCAAACCCAGGGGGAGTGATTTCCCCTCAAACCGGGTGTGCATATCCTGCAGACAGACTCCGATCGTGCACGGTAGAGAGAGGGAGGGAAAGAGAGAGAGAGAGAGAGACCATGTGACCTCAGGTGGGTGGCTTGTATCAGAACTGCTATGCTGCTAGCACGCCTCTCAGTCTTTTCCCGCAGCTTCTTGCTGGCCATTGAGCCTGGGGTGGACAACCACCCGGAAGGGTTTGAAAGGAACTTTCTGATGGGTTCTGATCCTGAGGGTTCGGATCGAACCTTTCTTGCCGGGGGGCCCCAACCCTAAAACCCAAAACTGCGCGTGTCCACCAAAGGGGTATTGGGGGCTCTGCTGGATTTCTGGGCCGGAGCCAGGCTGTGACATTCCCATCATCCAGGAGATGGCGACGCGGAAGTGGTACAAGAACGACGGCTCCCTGGACGTGGGCTCCGTGATGGTGAGGAGAACAAACTGGATTTCGGTGATTTTTCTCTGGAAGGCAACGGTTGGCTGTAAGACCATTTTTGACAAAAGGCCCCAGGACCTGCAAAAAATCGCCGTTGGCAGAAGCCATGGTTCCTTTGGGGAGTTGGACCAGTATTGAGGATTTGGGGAACCATCTAGAAGGGAGCCATGACCATGGCACACGCTTTGGGGGAGTTTTGACCATGAGACATTTGCCTCGCTTGTGTTTGTGCTCGCAGGACGTTGGGCCAGCCCTTTGGCGTGGAGGTCAATGAAGGCCGCAGGGGGATGTCACATTAGCAGTGGACAATTCCCACAATCCTGTACTCAAAGGACCATGATCTGACTACCTCAACAACCACATCCAGTGTATGCTTGGTTTCCAGCTAGCTTCCCTTCAAGACACAACAGCGTTTGCAGGACTTGCACTTTGGAGTTGCACTCGTACCAATTTGGTTCACCAATGCTGTTTGCCAATCGCGCTCACCGATTCGCGTCGCACCCGTTTCGGAGTGTTTTCATCCTGTTCAACTTGTGATTCCCACGGCTCGGATTGCGTTTAGGCTCCGGTGGCCTGCCCTGGCCCGCGCCTAAAAGCGCTGGCGTTTGGGTTCGGTTGTGGACCCACTTGGGTGTTTCTCAAAATAGGGCCGTTTCCTTTTGGCTTCCCTTTGAAACCACCCAAAACGCGACAGTCTGCGTTTTTTGTTTTTTTTTAAACAAAAGGTAACTTGGGAGTGACATGTTTTCCTCTTGGTGGGTTTCAGGTCAGAGGGAGGGTACCCGAAAGCAAACCTTACTGATCTTGGGTGTAGCCGCATCGTTGGATCTTTGGGAAATGATTTGAGGCTCCATTGAGCCTGCGAAAGGTTATACAAGCAATGGTCTGTATTCATCGTCATTGCTGGGCATGGCAATTAGGTGCACTCACCAATTGGCCACTCGGGAATGGTTATATACGAAACTCCCATGTCACTTAGCGACGCAGTGAGTAAATATGGCTGCATGTATGCATGCATGCATCTATGTATGTATGTATGTATGTTTGTATGTTTGTATGTATGTATGTATGTATGGTATGTATGTATGTAATGTAATGTAATGCAATGTAATGTAATGTAATGTAAGGTAATGTAATGTAATGTAATGTAATGTATGTATGCATGTATGTATGTATGTTATGTATGTATTAATGTAATGTAATGCAATGCAATGCAATGTAATGTAATGTAATGTAATGTAATGTATGTATGTATCTACGTAGTGTATGTATGTATGTATGTATATAATGTAATGTAATGTAATGTAATGTAATGTAATGTAATGTAATGTAATGTAATGTAATGTAATGTAATGTAATGTAATGTATGTATGTATGTATGTATGTATGTATGTACGTAATGTATGTATGTATGTATGTATGTATGTATGTATGTATGTATGTATGTATGTATGTATGTATGTATGTATGTATGTATGTATGTATGTATGTATGTATGTATGTATGTATGTATGTATGTATGTATGTATGTATGTATGTATGTGTATGTACTGTAATGTAATGTAATGTAATGTAATGTAATGTATGTATGTATGTATGTATGTATGTATGTATGTATGTATGTATGTATGTATGTATGTATGTATGTATGTATGTATGTATGTATGTATGTATGTATGTATGTATGTATGTATGTATGTATGTATGTGTATGTAAATGTATGTAATGTATGTATGTATGTATGTATGTTATGTATGTATGTATGTATGTATGTATGTATGTATGTAATGTATGTATGTATGTATGTATGTATGTAATGTAATGTAATGTAATGTAATGTAATGTAATGTAATGTAATGTAATGTAATGTAATGTAATGTAATGTAATGTAATGTATGTATGTTATGTAATGTATGTATGTATGTATGTATGTATGTAATGTATGTAATGTATGTAATGTATGTAATGTATGTATGTATGTATGCATGCATGCATGCATGCATGTATGTATGTATGTATGTATGTATGTATGTATGTATGTAATGTATGGAATGTATGTATGTAATGTAATGTAATGTAATGTAATGTAATGTAATGTAATGTAATGTAATGTAATGTAATGTAATGTAATGCAATGTATGTATATATATATATGTATATATATATATATGTACATATATATATATATGTATATATATATATATATATTCTGGGCGCCCCCCCCCATGATCCACATTTTAGTGCTTTTTGCTGGACAAATGCTGTTTTTTGCAGCATTGTTCCGGATCAGATTCTGATCCTGAATTTCGGTGCAGAAAGTGGAGCAGATGGGAGCAGATTATTTGCGTGGATAATTCTTGAGGAGCAGATGATCTTCATGGATAACCTGGTGGATAGTGGGTTTGCAGGCTGCAGATGGAAAGCGCTGTGCTGTCACTAAAATCTGGGCTTTGGAAGCCAAACGTGCTGTACTGTCCTTGAAAAGCCTAAAGTCTCATGCTCACGCCAAAGCCAGTCTTGGGCATTCGCGCTAAGATTGGGGACAGCGCAGCTCTTTTGGGCATGAGCGTGCAAACAGTGCCGTGCTGTCAAAATCTGGGCATTGGAAGCTAAGCGTGGTGTACTGCCCCTAGAAACATAAGTCTCATGCCAAAGCCCATCCATACCAGAAAGCAAGGTTTTTTTGGGGCGCAGACAGCACTTGTGGCCTCCAAGCCCAGGTTTTGAACAGTGCAGCCAGATTTTAGGGACAGTGCAGCGCGAGCACACAAGTGCTGCGCGGTCCCTAAAATCTGGGCTTCGAAGCAAGCGTACACGAAACAAAATTCATGACAAAGCCAGTCTTGGGCATCTGTGCATTTTTACTAGGGACGGACGAGCAGCGAACCAGCTTTGTTTTTGCTGCAACAAAGCAGAAGAAGCGCGCAGGCGTAAGGTTCAAGCAAAATGAGACGTGCAAAGTCAGCAGGCAACCTTTGTTTTTGCTAGCGGATCTGGAAACAAGAAGTGAAAACTAGCCGAACGGTTGGTCTGCGCATGACGGGCAAGCAGACTTGAGAAAAACCAGATGCTATGACCAAGGCCGCCCACGAATAATCTGCCGCATCTCGCCGGGCCCAAGCTCGGTCTTGCTCTCCGGCACCGTTTTGAAGACCAGGCCCTTGAAGCTGAACACTTCAGAACCTTGGATGGGCAAGAGCGGGGGCGAAGCAAAAGCAGTTCATGCGAGATGGATTCGATTGGAGCCACTGCGGCTTTGATCTTCTCCCTGGTAGCTGTATGGTTTTCTGACCGATCTTCGCAGGCCATTCGACTGGGGCACTGGGCGAACTTTGCGAAGCCTAGCAAAAAGTGGATGGGTCATTGTACACTTGAAAAGCCAAAACTGCAGTCACAGAATCTTGATAAGGCTCTGGAAGTGGCAGGACCCGTGGATCACGGGGGCGAGCCTGTATATATATATATATATTACATGTATATATTCTTGACAGTTCATATTGCTTTGCGCGTTCGGCGGGAAGACCCAGTCAGGCAAAGCAAGACAAAGGAGAATGGTTCAAAGCATTTGGCCAGTGTGAGAGAGACTATTTCACCCAGGACGAACATGGATTGGGGTCGGGGTCACTCTTTGGGGGGTGTTTCGATCTTGCTTGCGAATGTGTGGAGTAGATGGTTCTATTGGCTGGTTTCACAAAGGCTATCTTTGTAGAACCAACACAGCAAAACGGGCGCCGTTCATTTCATGGTTTCAATCAGGCATATTGGACAGGTCACTCCTTCAAAGGGAGCTGCCCCAGACCGCTTGGCGGTTTGAACTGGTTGTTCTTCGTTGTTTATCCGTCACACCCCTCCAGCGGGGGAATGTGTCAAAGCGAGCTTGACATTCTTTTGCCCTTTCTTCACAGTGCTTGGCATGTTTGTTCTTTCATTGCTTTTCGATCTATTACATTTGTTTCAGTTTGGGGATGCAACAATCGCGGTTTCTGCTAGCATTCCTGTGTTGGGAGGAACCGGTTGGTGTCATGTTGGTGGCTTTCTGAGGTGGCTGTTTCTTGTTACGGCCTTTGTGAAAGTCCAGATGATTCTCAAGAGCAGTCGATTTCGGCTCCATGGTTTTGATGGTTCTCCTGTGAAGTGGACGCAGCTTTGACGCATCGATTATCATCCACTGATGCTAACCACCCCCGGTTTCACAGATTTCTGGAGCAGGAGGCGCTCAAATAAGACACATGCAACTCACGCATGCTTTGCGCGGCTTGGTTGGAAATAGATGGTTCCTCGTCATTCACCAGCGTGATCCGTGTTGTGAAAGGGACACCTAGGCTTGGGTATGTCTCTTCACCCCTTTTTGGGGTTGCAAAGGGAGACCGCTGCTTCTGAGTAGGAAGGTTTTGCGAATGAACTAGAGATGTGTTTAGAGGAAACCTGAGATGATTCGGTTTGGGTCATTCGCTCATTTGAAGTTCGCTGGATTCCACTGGTTTCAATTTGGTTCGTTCTAGTTTGCAAGTGGAATCCATTTATTTTGAAAACACACGGTCTCAATGGATTGGCAGGGGCTAACGAAGTCCCCAATCCAGAAAACGAAGACGAGGTGCAGGCGGTAGAACCTTTTCCTGCTCAGCGTAGTTATTGGTCGGTGCCGTCAAACGGCAGATACCCACCCTATGTGGGATTCGAGGGGATTCGGGCCATCATGGCCACACATGATATGGATGTTACAGGTTTCACATGCCATGAAGTGCCAGTTGTGTGGCACGCAACTCACACGGGGAAGAAAGTATTCATTCAGCCGGTCGGCTGAGGCACGGCATGCACACAGGTCCTGCACGCACGGCGGACCTCTACATTCACTCCACGGAGGTGTCGGCACTCACGACTGGCGTGCCAGACACTGCCGTAGCGGGAGAGCACGATGGGGCCTGTGGGCTGCCCTTCACGTTGTTGCAGCTCACGGAGTAGCGTCTGCGTCCGAAAGTTCTGGCCCAAGAGGTGCTCGTTGCTACTGTTGACTTCCTCCAAGTTCATTTCCAGGGTGGTGATCACGGGGTCCATGGGCATGGGGTCGGTTTGCACGACCGCATCGATCACGGCCGTATGGTTCGGCCGGAGCAAGAACAGCTCAGTGCGTTCCGAACCACACACCATCCGAACATCAGGAGGAGGATGATCGCGGCGTAGTCCATGAACTCGACATAGGGCTCGACAAACGTGCCCTCGTGTTCCGCAAACGCGTTCTTCTGGTTGTCCACGTAGGTGGCTTGGCAGAAAGAGACCATGACATCGCCCTGCGCGAGTGGTTTGGGAATAGCTCCCTCCTGTATGTTCTGTTGACGTTCGGCCTTACTCTTGCGCTTGGCAGCGGTGAAGCTGGGGTCCCACGAAAGCTTCAGCTGGTGTGACCTCAGACGGTCTGACAAGAAGTTGCCGGGTGGACAATTTGGTCTGGCCGTCGGCGTACTGCAACTCACTGCTCATCCACCTGAGGTGACCGCCGAACGATTGGAGCCTTTCCTTCATCACCATGATCTCCAAACCGGTGCGGCGATCTGTGTTGCCGCCCAACTGCTCACGCTGGTAGCTGTCATACAGGGCCTTGGCGTCGGTGATTAGAGTTGGTTTGAGCATGCTGCGAACTTCCAAGAGGTCACGGAGCTTCACGTTGGGGTTGAAGATGTGCTCCCAGGCACGGACGACCATCTCCATGCTGTCCACGGCTTGACCAGCCGCCTGGGCTTCCGCAGCCAGACTGCTGCGACACACACGAGGTAGCTTGTACGAGCGCCAGTCCAAGACCATGTAGGGGAGCTCATTGCCGTCAAAGCAGGCGGCGTTGACCAGCAGGGTGATGTAGCCACCTTGGGAACTACCATCAGATCGGGAATTGAATCCCGCGTCTGTCATAGTAACCAGGCGCAGGTCTGCCAGGTTGCCAATGTGGCGGTACTGCAACGTGACATCAGAGTTGTCCTTGCCAAACTTCAAAGCGTGGTTTGCCTCGTTGATTGTCATGTTGGTGCCAGTTCCGACCTCGCCAGAAAGAATCGAGGCCGAACATTGCAGATGCGGGCTGGACTGAACAGCCGGCCACTGTAGCGCACCAACTAACCCACGGAGTTGAGAGACTCCGGACGGATCCAACTTCTGAACGGAGTTGCTGACCTTACTCTGGGTGATCGGCTTGATGCGATGGAGATAGTAGTCTTCCAGGACTTGGCACTGAGAGGCTGCTCCACGTGTGCATGTCTGCCGTCTCGAACTTGTGCCAGGTATACCTTCTTGACAAAGAGCAAAAAGGTGTCGTGGTGCCATTGACGTAGAGCACGTAGTTTTTCACGCTGCTCAGGAGTTCGGGAGTCCGCATACGGGTGCCAGAAACACCTCGTCCGGCATCTCCTGGTGGAGATAATCCATGAAGGCGTCCTGGTGCGATTTGATGCGGAAGTCCCACCCGGTATGAAGCCCGAAGACCTTGGTCTGACCGCCGGCAGCTTGTACATGTTGAGAGATGGCGGCCTTGCCGGCGAAGACTTCCCACACCAGGCGTGGTCGGGGGCGTTCCATGGCAGCCAAGGCTTGGTCGACTTTGATCTCGGTCTTGTCGATGTGCTGCTTCAGATGAACCTGAAGAGTCCACAGCTGGTTGGGCTTCAGGCGGTGTGATGGTAAGTCTTGAGGAGGGGGAGAGACATCCGTGTCATTGGCCACCATGTTCATGTCCAGGTTTTCAGCCGTAAGGAACTCCTTCAGGGAGACGCCGTACTCGAGGTTCGGCTCGTTGGTCAGCACCGCTGGTTCGGGAAGGCCTGACCTGAAGTCGTCGTAGCTCTCGACGAGCGACAACAGGTATTCACACTCCAACGGTCGCCAGCCAGAACCAGGAACCCGCATTGTTTTGCTGGCGAAATCCAAAGTCATGCCAATGAGCTCCATGATGGGGTGAACCTTCACCACCCAGTCGCTCGTCCCGTAGTTGTCGCCACCGAAGCGAAACTCCTTGGTGCACCGGCTCAGATAGATGAGCTCCACGGGGTAGCCAAGTTGACGTAGAACTTGAACGTAGGCGATGAAGGTGTGGTAGCCGGCCAGGAAGGACGAGGCACCAGGGTCAAGCATGACGGCATCTGTCCATTGCTGTCCATGAGCATGCCGGCCATCATGGCCGAGCCATCTTCCAGAGCCGGTCGCTTGTTCGGGCAAGATGACGGCGACGTTGTAGGCGTAGCCGAGGAAGCCGGATTCCGCGGCATGGGGCAGTTGCTGGCCGCTCCACAACGAATGCTGTGAAGTGCACTCTTGGCCCGATTCTTGGCTTGCGACGGCTTGCCAGCACCTTTGGACCAAGACTTGCCACCCTTGCCTTTTCCACGTCCGGGTCCTCCTTTCAGCGAAGGTGCCATAGAGCTTGAGGATCCGGGACCACCATCCTGCAGGGCGACCACAGGGAGGAACCCACGAGATAGTCGGAGTTCTTGAAAGCGCTTGCGGGCGTCGACATAGGCAGAGTAGACCTCGTCATACTCCTCCACGGGCCAGGGGTTGTTAGACTCAGCGTCCTCACCGTAGTAGGCCTCGTGGTGATCCCAGTCGTCCGTCTCAACGTTTTCGTCGTCGATGGAGTCCCAGTGATCGTCTTGCCAGTAGATCTCGTCCGTGCAGGTCTGGTCATCATGCTAGTAGGTGCCGTCGGGAATAGCCTGTGTGGCGCCGATGAAATCCGGAGCCCTTGAAGCCAGGGCCGCGTGGGCGATCATGTCCAAACTTGTAGTCTTGACCAAGCACGAAGTACAAGGCCTCGACAACCTTCTCCTTAGTGAGGTGCTTGCCGGCCTGGGTCGTGATGAGAGGTTGGCTTTCCGAAGCATTTGCCAACCCACCACGGATGCAGGAAGCTTCGCATCATGTTGCGCCAGGCGTCGCAAAGCCTCATCGTGCTCGGTGACATAGCTGAGCAGTGTTTGGCCTGAACGGCGCTGCAGCTGGTTGAAGTAGTTGTCAAAGTGAGCGGGGAGCTCCACCCTGTCGTCATACCGAAAAGACTTGTCCAGGATGGCCAGGATATCGTCGAACGCAGTGTCCGCTTCGATCTGCAGTGTCCGCTTCGATCTGAGCATCTTCGAGATGCTCAACTACCTTCCAAGCAGTGCCAGTGAGGGAACCCAGGAGGTTGTACACAGCCTCTTTGTTGCGCTTGGTAACCGCCATCTTGCGGTAGTACAGGTAGATCCTCTTGCGCCATTCCCGATAGTCTTGCGGATGCCCGGAGAACAAAGGGATGAAGCTGTCCCGGGTCGAGTTGTTGTCCAGCGATGCAGTTGCCGCTTCAGATGCCATCTGAGAGGCCACTTGGAGCGTAAAGGCAGCTCCGCAACCAATCTCAATGGATTGGCAGGGGCTAACGAAGTCCCCAATCCAGAAAATGAAGACGAGGTGCAGGCGGTAGAACCTTTTCCTGCTCAGCGTAGTTATTGGTCGGTGCCGTCAAACGGCAGATGCCCACCCTATGTGGGATTCGAGGGGATTCGGCCATCATGGCCACACATGATATGGATGTTACAGGTTTCACATGCCATGAAGTGCCAGTTGGCACGCAACTCACACACGGATTCTAGCTGTGGGAGTTTTTTCCCAGTGAAATCTTGTTTTTTTGGGGGTTCTACAGGGAATCCAACAGGAAGCCTAACCAAGAGGCAGTCTCTGTTGAGGTGGCCCTGGATCTTCGTGGTGCTCGCCTTCGTGGGCTGCATCTACGGCTTGCTGAGGCAGTGAATCTGGGTCTTTCTCAGAAGAAGCGTCGGCCCCCCAAAGAGACCTTTGCCACCATTTGGTGAAACTCTTGTCTTTCTTGGAGGAGAGTGGGGGAACTTATTTGGTTCCTCAGGGAACTGACAATCCCCTTTCGTGATGAATCTAAGAAGCCCCTTTGAAAGCATGATTGAAGTCGTTGTGGTTGGATGCTGATAGTTATAACTTGTAGGCATCTGCGCAGAGTATAGGTAAATGTTTGCTTGCACGTTTTTTTGATATGAAGGGTATAACCTTTGAAGCGATCAAGTAGAGGTTGGATAGGACTCAACCACTAGAAGGAACTGCACGGCTTTGGGGCCAACTGTTTGTTGCAACCATGTGGCTACGAGTATTTTTTAGGCTGCCCGTTGTAAAAGGTTGGTTTGCAGGAAACCAAGAAGAAGAATACCTGGCTGGGGGATCCCCACAGTTTGGCGTCCACGCCTTTGGCCTGGCGAGCGAGCGGTGCGCGGCAGGCTTTTCCACATGCCCAAAAGGGGCGCCGGGCGCTGAGTGGGGTTCGACCCAAATGGTGGACTGCTCCAAGGGATTGCCCTGAGGTTTGGCTATATGGCTATGTATACATTTTGCAAGTGTGGATACAAGGGAAATGTACAGTTGGGTAAAAGTGGATGGCACAACTCGCCGATGTTGGTTTGGCCACGCCCATCACTTACCCACATTCACTGGGAATTGTGCCTTCTACTTGTACACTGGTGTACGAGAGAAATAGGCACGCGACAAAATTGGGGGCACCCCCAAAATAGTGCTTTTCACACCAAGCCAAGAAGGTACCCCCCCAGCACTCCCATGTTTTCCCCTTTCCTGGACTCAGTTGCGAGGCGCGCAACAAAACAGGGAGCATGGCAGGGGCCTTAGGTCGTCGCTTTGTTGCCAATCAAGCGGTGAACTGAACCGAGGTCCTGAGTTGCACCCCTGGTGGATTGGGTCAAACAAATCTTGATTGACCCTGGTTGACGAGCAGGGGGCCATTTAAGATGGGATTCGGAGCCCTTTTTGGGGAACACCCCGACATTAATCGCAAGGTCGATCAATCTTGGGTCGACATTGTAGGAAGACCGATACAAAGCCTTTCTCATGTTTGGTTTCTCTTTAAGCTTGGTTGCACAAGGTGTTCAACTAGTTCTGACACATCCCAACGACGAGGGTGGGAGGTTGCGGGGAAGCATATTTGCTGGCTGGAGTAGTGCGAGGCTGCTCTTTGGTTCCATCTTCAAGCTATTTGCCTTTGGGGAAATACCGTTTCTCAGAGCAACAAGGAAGCAGGGATTGCAGAAGACCGGGCTAGGGCGGGTAAGGGAAGCTTTTGGGAGCAACGAGGATAGCTTACCAGCTACGCCAGCTGCCTCCTCGTTCCCGCTCTTAGTCCCTTCATCTTTGCTTGCACAAGTTTCCCCTGACTAGCAAGGAGCTCCCCAGCCCCTCAAACTATCCTTAGGGACTCGAAACACTTTTGGGACCATTTTAGTGGTAAACGATTTGAGACTTTGTTGGCCATTTCCCAGCAGGGTAGATTGAAGATCCAGGTCCAAGGTACACTTTTTCCAAGGTCACAGGCTTCGGGTTGGCACGTCAGGACGGCAGCTTCGACTATGCCAAGGCCTTGCTCGAAATGGGTGAATGCATTTGGGGGTGCAGGTGTTTCTTTTTGGAAGCGCACGTCATCTGGGTGGTAAAGGGAAAACAACAGAAATCAGCCGAGGCCCCTAATTTTGACTCCCACCCCATGCACCGTGCTTGGCATGGTCTTCCAGTTTTCATTTGTAGTGCGGCAAAAGTCAGTTGCTTGGTCAACATACCAGGGATTGGGAAGGACCGCTGTTTAGGTCCCAAACAGGCTAATCGTAGCAATTTTGACCCCGCATGCTTGTCAAACTCAGTTGGACTTTTGATACCATTTTTACGTGTATTGAGAATTGAACTCGTTTTGACGCAGACATTTGGGCTGTTACTACTCGGCCAACGGTGAGTCAGAAGGTCAGACACGTAACTTGCAAACCAGTTGCAACCCGCACTGGGAAAGCAAGACTGCTAGGCACAGGGAAAACCGAGGCCACTGGTGGGTTGACAAACTTCCGAGCACCAGCCAAATAGGGAGCCCTGTTTCACGCGAGGGAGTGCCAGCTATTTAACCCTCAATTGGATCAATGCCTTGATTGTTTCCATGCGCAACCAATGCTTCATTTTCCTTGCAAACTATCCAAAGGGGTCAAAGGTAGCCTACTACAAGGATCCAAACAACCGCTTCAACTGGGCACAACAAGTGGCCACCGTTTATTGCAACACGGTCCTTATGTTTGGCCACCAAAGGAAACACCCCAACGAGACCCTCAATCTTGACACCTCATTTGACCTTATTTAGTCTTATTTCTTCAAACTTATTTTACGCCCAAATTCATTTAGTATCTTAGAAGGTCTTTAACGGTGCAGGGACGGATTTTTTGGGGGCAGAATCAACCAGTCTCAACCAGTTTGGGGTTGCCATTGGGGGAGCCCTTGACAACCGTAGGATTGTTGTTTGTTTTTGAAGGGTCCCAAGATTTCCAACCTGTAAGCATCAGCCCATGTAAAGGAAGCTCAGCTAAAATGGCAACCCAAAAGTCTTTTTGGGCATAGGTCTGTTAATCCCCCCTCGTAGAAGTCTATTGCGGGGTCTGGGAGGACAATTATTTATCAAAGCCTCCGGTGCAGGGCGACCTGAGCGAGATGCAACCGCTGAAGCCTCCGCTGAACGCGGCGGCTCGGGAGATGATCGCTTTGGGCCCAGAGCGTCGCTCGAGATAGGCAATGAACATGGACCAGGGTTGGGCCCTTCATGAGCTGGGCCATTCCAGAGTTGTCAATTGGCGATGAAACCAATACAGTTGTCTCCACTTGTGAGGAACTGGCGCGGGTATTCTTCAGTTGATCTGAGAATACACCTTGAAGCTTGGAGGAAGAATCATAGTCTTTGGACTCCTAAGCCCGCCAGCAACAACCAATGCATCCACTTCATGGAAATTCCTTCCAGATCTGCAAGTTGCAAGAAAGAACATGGAATCAAAGAACTGAACCTGGAAACCTGGAAAGCTGCTAGCAGCGAAGCGTGACGTGAGACCTGCGAAACTCGGATTGAGCTTCGGAACCTGCGGAACCTATCTGCCCCAAACCGTGGACTCCGAAAAGTCGGTCTGAGGACAACCGGCCTGTGAGGGATGTGCCCGGGCCCCAGCTGGGGCCCAAAAGCCTGCTGGGCATGCCCCCCCAAGGTTGTACCGCATGGCACTGCTTGTCAGAATAGGACAGGCCCCCAATCTTGATGCAATTTTCCTCTTGGTTTCTCTGGTTCCACCCAGTGGGTCTGGCTAGGCAGAACTTGGGGACTTTGCCCAGCGGCGTGGACATCCAGATGCCGGACATGTCGCCTGGAGCCCTTGAGTCCAAGCCAGCGAGCCGTGTGGCCGATTTCTCTGGAAAGTCTTGGGGATGGGAATCAGCCACTCTCGGGGCTGGAACGGCATATTAGGGTCGGATTCTTGATCTTCGTCCTGAGACTGCTGAGTCGCCTGAGGTTTCAAGCGTCCCAGCAGCTGCCTCGGATTGGCTCTCCGTCCGAAACTGAGCTTGAGGAAGTCCCGGTCTGTCTCCTTGCTTTGCCCTTTGAGCCTTTGACCTTTGACTTTGTCCAGAATCCTTGGTGACAATGCAGCACGGGTGCCCAGCGAGCGCGTCTCTGGATCATGTCACAGGTCGGCCGCGCGGATGCAAGCTGGGGGGAGCTCAGGCTCTCCCTCCAACAGGCGTTGGGGGGGGTCGCGGGTGAACCGACCCTAGTATAGACCTACATCACCATTTGACTACCCTCTCAAATGGATACATCCACATGAAACTCATGTACAATCCGAGTAAGGCTTGTATTGACCTTTACAACCAGGCGCTGAGAAAGCAAGCACGCGTTCGCCCTGCAGTTCATGGGAGGTTTGGCTCAAAATAGCCGTGCTAAACCATTTGAGCGACGTTCTAAAACCCCTCTTTCAAAATGTTGATTTTTCCCAGGTTGCGGAAGCGCCGCGCAAAGTTCACGGAAGGGGTTTTTCATTTGTGTACTCGCGGAAGCTTCGCGGAAGGGCTACGATTCAATCACGAAAGCAAGGAATTGTAGTTTTCCTTCACGCGCGGGCGAAAACAAACTTCAATCTCATTTCTCAATCCGCGGAAGCGACGCGGAAGCGATTCCCTCTTCAAAGCCTCTTGCGGAAGGAACCTTTCATGCTGCGCAAGCTCCGCGGAAGCCTTCGCGGAAGGGATTTGATATTTCTCTTTGGCCGCAGCTGGGTTTAGAACACTGCTCATTTGGCACCTCATTCCACCTCCCCCCATGGGCCAACGTCATCGGGAGGCCGCCACCGCCACCGCCGGTGGGGTACCCTCCTCGTTATGCTCCCTCCTCGCCGGTGTCATCTGCCGCGGGCAGTTTGCATTTGTCCAGCGGCTCAGGGGGCCAAGCGGTAGGTTTTTCTTGGAGCATGTTAATGGCGGCCACCAGAAGGGCGCACTTTTCCTCCCGGCCAATGTGCAAGCCTGCTTGGGGTTTTTATCTGCTTGAGAAATAAGGATACAAAGCTTTGCCCGTAGAACCAACAGCTTTGGTAGAAGAGGCTGGAAGCCCCACAAAGAGGCCTGTTAGAGTTTCCTACGGGCCTTACTGGCCCCAACTAATCTTGGTTGACTTCGAGTTCATTTTTGGTGGAGGCTGAGGGTGGTGGTTTCCATTAGTCTTTGGTTTGACATGTGTACAACCTTTTGACCTCTTGGACAATTGATATTTGCCGCCCACGAACTGGCAAAATATCGAATCACTTTTTTGCAAAGCGGTCAGTTTCACGAACCCTTGGGGATTCAGACAGACACGAATTTAGAGAGAGAGAGAGAGAGGGACTGGCCATGAAACATTTGTCATTTGGGGGGATTCCGAGCATAGTTGCCAACTTATTGCGTCGAGGCTCACCCCCCAAGCACAACGCAGCGTTTTTGTGAACAATCGGGCGACCTTATCCCCCACCTCCTTCCTGCTGGAGGTCTGGGGGCCAGGGCAGCCTGGGCTACCAGCAGGGCTACCAGTACCAGAGGCGCGATCCGATGAGATGCGGGCGCGCCTGCGTGCTTCTCTTGGCTCGGTTGTTTTACAATTACCAACCTAACCCGCCGTCCCAAGCCAAGGGCAAATGCTGCGCGCAGGCAAAGAAGGCATCAACACCCCCCACCCCACACCAAACTCAAGTCTCATACGAGTTTTGGGTCTTTACCCTTTCTTTTGGGGGGGTAGTTTCCATGGCTTGCAGCGGGTTTTTAACAGACGATCTGAGCCACAATCGAAACCAGAGTAAGTTTAGCATAGGGGAGTGAAGCGCATTTATTGCGATCCGTTTGGTTTGATCCCCTTTTTATGACCCTTTTGTCGACCCTGCTTGCTTTGAATGCTCGGGCCAGCCCCACTTTTGACGCAGGAACATCGGATCGATGGCCGGTCGCCATAGCCAAGGCCTGCTGTGGCTGCCGTGCCTGCGGGCTACGCCGGCCAACGGGATGGGTCCCTAATCGCCCGGGCCCCAACTGAGGACCTTGTTGCAGCTTGTTCTCAATTGTGTTTGTCCTGTGCTTGTGTTTGCCTTTTTCTTTCGAAACCCCAGACCGAAGGTAAAGCCATACTTTTGGAGGGGACTCCCCACAGTTGTGGGGAAACACAAGTTGAGTGACAATTTAGGACATGTCTACCCTTTGCCAAAATGACAATGAACTTGGTGAAAACAATTGAAGAAAAGCCGCAGGTTTGGGTTTTGAAACTTTGGCTCTTGTTTAAGCCCCAAACCGCGAATCCAAACCACCTAGATCGAAGGTGAAGCCAAGACGGAGGGTTGCGCTTTCTGCTTTCTGCAGCCCAGGGCACCACTTCCCAGGCCTTCAGCTATTTCAGGTTTGTTAGACCCACCTAGTACGGGTTTACTGGAGCCCCGGTCCCAACCCGAACCCGATTTTTCGGCGACCTTTGCCCTCCCCTTGTCATCCAATGACGGTTCAACAGGCCTCATTCGGAAGCTGGCCAGTTTCAACGTGTTTCTACTCACTATTCTGGTGTCCCAGATGTGCGCCGAGTATTCCTTTCAGTTTCTGTGAGGAAGCCGGTGCATTTGTTTCAACCCCGTTTTGCCCAACCGTGTCGCTCTCGAGGCCCTGTCACAGCACATGGCCTCGCAAATCGAGAGCTCCGGGGCTGAAGCTCGGGCCTCACAGCACGGCGCATGTTAGCTGTGTGTGTGTGTGTGTGTTGAAGAAGGACACATCCAAAGTGGGTTCCAATGAATGGGTTCCAGCTTAGCGCTGCTCACATACTCACTTGTGTAGCATCCGAAGGAAAGCCATGTGTTCCCTCTCTTCAGAAAATAGCTTGATCGAGGGCAAAAGATAATTGGGATGTGTGAAAAGATGGGCTCGATCCCCGACTTGGCTGGACTGTTTTGTCACATGCTGCCGTTACGCATTGCCGGTCGCATGCTTTGCCACAGGTAGACTTGCCATTTGGACGTTCCTGGTTTGTCTGGGCTTGGTTGGTTTTTATGCCTGCTGCTGTTAAATCTTGCCAGGACGCATGCTTTGTCTCACGATTTTCTCAACATCGGGGGCGGGGGGCGATACGCACAAGAGGAATTAGCCAGCACAGGCGAGTGAAAGGCCACGTTGCCACTTTTGGCAAAAGGTGCCAGCTTTCCGCCCATCCTCTCTCAAGTCGACTTGTTGGCATTTCCCAAAATGTGCTAGACCCATGAAACATGTGAGACCTTCAACCAGGTAAACCCTCCCCTCACATTCCCTGAAAAGTTGCCCGCGCTCCAGATTTTCCCTCTAAAACCATAGAAGGGGTTCACCATTTTGAGGCAGGCCCATGCGGCGTTTGGCCTCTTTTGGATCAGGGTGCAAATGGGCATGTAATTTGTTGGGGGGAATCCACGTTGGGATGGATTGAAGGGAAACCAAGCCAAACCATGTTGATTGGTGACCTATCTTTCAGACACACTCAAATGGTTGAACAAAAGGCTGATCCCGATCAATCACGTGACCCCTTTTACAGCGAACGTCTAGTGGTTAGACGTTTGTGAACAAGGTCTTGACCCTGATCAAGTTTAAAAGTCAACCTTTGACACCTCAATCCCAGTCCCAAAGTAAGGGCCCTGTATACTTTTACATATATGTATATTATATATATATATATGTATATGCATTTGCATCATATGTGTATAGTCTATGTATAGTGATTTTTGAGCACCGCTCATTTGTACCACCTTTCTCCGTTGTGTCATGGATGACCACTCAAACCCTTCGCAGATTAATAGCGCACTGTATTTTTCCGCCTAGATTGACCTGGCACCAACTAAGATTAAACCGTAAGCCCAGCCCCAGCCTATGAACCCACCCTGAACCCATCACAAACCAAAGCGAAGAGATCCTTAACCTAGCGAAACCAACGTCTTAAGTAGGCTAAGTCCGTCCTAAAAGCACCCAACATCAAACCTCGACTTGCCTTAATCTAATGTGTCCTTAGCCCTACCCAAGTCCACATAGCCCCAACATTTCTTGAATAGACCGTACGCCAACTTGAACCAAGCTCACCATCAAGCCTCCAGCGGGCAGGTGGCACTGATATTTGGCTTGGGATGGCGGGCTTCCACTTATGATCTCGAGACCTGCAAAACATATAGAACTGCAAACAAGGCGTTCCTTTAAAGCCTCGTCTGACAAACATTTGACATCATAGGCAGGTCATCCTTCCTCAAACATGTTTTGAGACCAGCTTTTGTTCATACCCCCAAAAAGGGCCATGTGAGTAGTGGTTCTACTATTTGCGTTTATGCGGGTTACAGTAAGGCGGCTGAACCGAGTGCTGCTTTTGTCTTCCTCTCGCAAAACCAAAGCGCATTCCCCTGGAGGCCAGGCCGCACTGGAAGCTAAGCTGAAGGATGAAGAAGGTAAGCCTTCTGTCGTTGCTATGTGGAAATCAGTACAAGAGGTTCCCCTCAAAGGAAAGGACATTTGAATGGCCTGTCCGAGGCGATTAGAAGCTTGCGGCATGGGCAGCCGGGACAGCCTATGCCGCAGGGACAGCCTATGCCGCAGGGACAGCCTATGCCACAGGGACAGCCTATGCTGCAGGGACAGCCTATGCCGCAGGCTCAGCTCGTGCCGCCAAGCACGTTTGACATGGGATGCTCAGGAGCTGGAGGGGTTGTCAACAACAGGGCCCTGTCTGGAATCAGCTTCGGTTGACGGCTGAGATTTGGTAAAGCCTTTCGCAGCAAGATGAGCATCATTATTCATGATCACTGGGTCAAACTGCGGCCTTTTATGCTGGCCCGCAAAGGAGGGAGGCTGACGCAACTGCAGCATGTAGCCTTTCTCTGTTCTGTCGGGCCTCGATTTGAGGCTCATTCTCTTGTGAAATAGTATCAACTTCAGGGAGACCACCTAAGGCTGAGGCCACATTCTGCATTTGTGTAGTTTTTGTAGACAAAAGCAAAGCATTTCCATGCATCAATCTTTCAGAGACTTCACAAGTTGCCTGGGCCATTGCCGAAAACATGGTGCAGGTGAAGAGAGTCATCTAAAACTCTCCGATCCTCAGCTCAAACCAGGCTTCAGTGCCTTCCGATATCCTGTGAGGGGGCACCTGTTGAATTCTTTGAAGTTGAGTGGCCCCCATTTTGTGGTTGTACCCACACGCCATTGAACCCTTTTTCGGGTCGGGACTAGAGGAAAGCCATCATTTTAGGAGCTGACCTATGTTGATACATGCCTATGTCAACACATGCCCATTTCTTGTTTAATGCCTCGTCATGGTTGCAATTGGAGATCAAACGCCTCGCGCCGAGGCCATATAGCTACATGCAATCGCCGACGCCCATGTACCAGCCAGTCCAACAGGCGCGCTGAGACTCCTGACCGCCAATCTTCATGCCATGCGCAAGATGACAAGGCAAGCTTGGGGTTACTTAGGATCTGTTTTCACCCACCCTTCATTCGGAATTCGGACAACTATTATCAAAATTCCTAAAGGCACCATGACCAGAACTCTCATAAAGAAGGGTCTACTTCTAGAATTCCATTTACATTCTACTTCACTTCCCGCAGCACTCAAAATGAACAACAACCTCATGTTTCCTGAGTTGGAATGACAAACTCGTCAGGTTGACTTGTTTTGTAAAGACATGCCTCCGATACAGGCAGATTGTGCCGCAACTTAACTTGGCACCGCAGTCTTTTCAAACACAGAGACAGCGCATATTGAGTTTGCTAGTTTGAATATCAGAGGTACGTTTTGCCCTTTTCATTTCCATGTGTTTTCAACTGAGCACGAACTGAGCCAAGCCAAACCTTCAGGAAACGTTTGAACAAACATGGAGGGACTACGCGCAGTAACATGCAGTACTTCTCAGCATGTTTGCAATCATTGTTCCCTCCTCAAAACAGGCTATACCGGGCAATGTGTCTCAGTTTTCGCTTCAACAAAGGGGTGGGGGCACTTCTTCTTGAATCAGTCAAGAAAGGCCCCCACATTAAAACAACAAACAACAACAATTGGACACCACTTTGACATTTTTTTGGGTGGCTCCACCATCCAAGTTCGAAGATTGTACAAACAACTTTTCGGTTCTTGGACACACTTTAAACTATTTGGAGGGTGGATCCAAAAAAGCCTGCCCTTGTCCGATTTTGAATTGGTTTTGGTAATTATGTTTGCTCTCCCTGTTTCAGATCCTGAAATTGTATTTTCCAGGTGCAACCCCGATAAACCCAAAGACTGGTGGGTCCTCCCAGATTCAAGGGAGTACATAAGGGTACGGCCTTTTGAGCACCTAGTCACGAAAGCTAGCTTTAGCTAGCTGAAGTTTCTCCTTGCGTAAGCAAGGTAAGGGGCTCAAATGCCGAAAGATTGATTTTTTCAATTATTTGAGCCGAAAAGATTGAAAAATATCAATTATTTAGACCCCCCCCCCGGTCTCCAGGCTCGGAGTTCACTCCCTGGTCCATCCCCACCCCCCCACCCGGGCAGTGGCTCCAGTGTTCACAGAGCTCAGTTTTGCCGTTTGGACTTGGTCACTCTAGACTTTTACATGTTCCACCAGTTAGCTTACATTCATTTGAGACCTCAGTCTTCTCGGTAAACCATCGCAAGAATCTCTGCACACGCAGCATGCAGAACCCAGAGGTGCTTTCAGACATGACTTAGCCTCTCGTTGTTTTCATTTTCCAAGGTTTGCCACGCCATGTCGTTTGCGTATCTCGAATCTTGCGGGCCTCTACGTTATTACAGCTACCTATGAATCCACTCTGTCTGACATCATCGGCGCTGCTGCTTAGATTCACGCTCCTCAGTTATTGACACCTAGTCAGTTGAAATTGATCGTCAATCGCGCTCTCTCGATAAACATGTCTCAGGAGTATTATATCAATTGATCTGAGAAGTATTATGAGTGTGAGAAAAACATGAGAAGTCATGAAATCAAAGAGCAAGATTAAGGTGTACCTAAATGATGTGTCATGTTCATCGTGAGAAACTTGGAACATCAATAACAGAGAACAGAGCAAATTCAATATCGAAAAGCGATTTGGAAACGTAGAAATATTTCTTCAAAAGTACAGTTCTTGATACCAAATTTGTATATACCTGAACAATATGCCTTATAGGTAATATATATTATTAATATGGTTGGACATGAAAATTTGTAGATATTTTGCAGGAAGTGAGAATATCAGCAATTGTTGGAAATGAATAAGATGTTCATACTAAGGATTGGTTGGCATCAACATAGTGATCACTTCTCACCTGCAAGATCAATAGTTTATCACATATATGACTATATGTTATTTGCGTGGAAACATCACAGACATGGATATAAATATATTTATGTTTTATATTTAATTTAATATATGTATATATATATATTTAAAATATAATATAAAATAATATAATTCATTATAATATATTTTATATTTATTTTATTGTAATATTTAAATAAATATAAAATATGGAAAATAAGATAAATATTTATATAATATATTTGTATATTATATTATTTTAATTGTTATATAATTATATTAATAGTTTATTTTTATTTATTTATGAACTGAAAAAATATTAATATTAACATTATTAATGTATTATTCGAATATATAATATGTGTAATTTAATATAATATTAATAATTAATATTAAAATAATTAGTATGTTAAATAAATATAAAAAATATGTATAATTTAATATAATATTATTAATAATTATTATTTAAATAATTAATATATTTAAATATTTATAAAATTTTTTTATATATTTATAAATATATATATAATTATAATTTAATATATTAATTATATTTAGATATATTATGTTATATTTAATGATAAATATATATTATTATATAATAATATATTATATTTTATAATTATTAATATATTATAAATATATAATTATTTTTTATATTAATATTTATTTGGTTTATATTATTATATATTATTATTATATATGTATATATAATTGTTAAATTTAATTAAATTTAAAACTTAGATGATGTTCGTTGGAATTTGTGAGTTTGTTATTTCTAGATTTTTGGATTAGATTTTTTTTTATTTTTATTTTATTATTTTTTTGATATTGTTTTTTATAATTGACCCTGGATATGACGATTAAATCTCCTTTCTAATCTTGTATATGTTAATATGCCGAATATAAATGTATTTATGATGATTTGTGGAATCGATTGTCTGTCAAAATATTGGTTCAATTTGATTAAATTTGGGAAAATACGGATGGATTGGATGTCGAGGGAAAATATTTTTTTTTCGATTCCTTGTTTCTATGGGGGATGAAAAACATGCTCTGTGTCTTGGGATTATATGGATCCAATTTCCCGAGTCTTATTTAAATTGCAGAGAAATTATGATTTGGCGTATGAAAGGCATGGAGGCGGCGTTTGGCCGCATATATAGATGATTTTGAGATATATTATAAGGATGATTGACTGGCTGGCTGGTTTTGTCTTTTACTCGATGATTGTTTCGATTATTTCTAATGCATGGCGGTATCCTTTACGATTATTTGCCTTAATTTGTGATTGTTAGAGTTTGTGTGTACAGCTGAACAAGGAATATATATTTTGGATTGAGATTTTGGCTGTTTTTTGTGTGGTTGGTTTGGGCCTCGTTTGTTTGGTTTGGGCCGTTTCGGAGCGGGGTAATATAATCTCCGTGGCTAAAGTGGTATTAGGTTACGGGTGGACGAGATTTTATTTTTCTTCTATTTTGCCGTTAATGTCTTCGGGCCACTCGATTTAGGATTAAAAATTAAACCACTATGGAATCACAAATCTTGGTTTATATTTCCATTTATTAGATTTCTATTTTCTATCTATTTTTATAAATATATATTATAATCTAGCTAAATTTTCCCGAATTTTTGGGTCGCTCTTCCGGCGACGCGGCTTGTAGATTTTCGGCCGTTATCCCCTTAAATTTCTTCGGAATTTAGAGGCTTGCCGAACAATTACCGGGCCAAATTTCACGGAAATTTGGGGATAATCAGTCGGGGGATTTCAAAAATTTCGTGCCAGGTGTCTCTGTATCTTTGTTTCTCTCTATATCTCCCAGTCTGTTTCCATATATCCATATTTATTTATTTCGTAATTTCTATCTTTCTCTATTTATCTTTGTGCATCTCTCTATATCCCAATCTGTTTCTTTTTGGTGTTTGTGCATCTTTGTCTTTATCTGTCTGTTTCTGTCTCTTTATCTCTCGGGTTATCTCGGTTTATCTCTTTTTGTCTCTATATGTCCGTGTTTGTCATTCGTCTCTATTTCTTTGCGTCTTTTTGTGTTTTTTTGTATATTTCTACGTGTCCATATCTATTTATTTGGCGATATCTATATATCTCTATCTCTATGTGTATTTTTTTGTCTGTCTATGTTTGTTTTTATGGATCGATTTACAAAGATGGCAGACTTCCGCATTGCCGCGCGCCGTATCCCTCCCTTTTAAGCTCCGCTTGCTTCTTTTCGCTCTGCCTTTCTTTTCATTTTTGATTGTTCTTACTATTGTCTTGCTTGCCTGCTTGCCTGCTTGCCTCCTTCTTTTTCTCTTTCTCGTTCTCTCTTTTTCTCTTTTTCTTTCTTTCTCTCGTTCTCTTTCTTTTTTTTTTCATTTTTTATTATTGTTTTAATCTTTTCATTTGTTTATTTTGATTCATTGGTGTTATTTTATCGTTTTTTCTTTCTCTCTATTTCTTTTTTGTTCTCTTTTTCTCTTTTCTTTTCTTCCTCTTTGTGTTTTCTTGTTTTTCCTCTTTTGATTTTTTTATTGGTATTGTAATGATAGAATACTTGGTTTATCTTAAAGTATTAAATGAAATTAAATATTAAATTATCATCAATTAATTAAATTTATATATTGTTTAAATTGATTTTAAAATTACAATTAGATTTGTTATTCAATATACTTATGTATTGATATATATATAGTTATAGAACTATATACAATATTATTAAATATATATATATATATGTGTACATCAATTCAATATATAGATATATATTTGATTATACTCTATTAATATATATATTTATATCGATTATAAAAATTCATATTAATCAAGTAACAATTATGCTCATAATTTAAGAAAAAGGTAAATAAATATTTTCAATTAGACTAACATATATGATTAATTCATTTTTTCCATAATGTTTTATATGATTTTATAACTAACACATTTTCATGGCCGGGAATTATAAAAAAACATAAAATTTAAAAGATTTCCCAAATTATTCAAATATATTTCTAAATTCTATATAGTGTCATCTTAAAAATTTCCTGTAAATAATTTTTCCCCCTTTTTTAATTTAGAATAAATGTCCTAAAATTAATACTTAAGAAAAACAAGAAGGGAATTCATTTTAAAAATAAGTAAATGATTCTTATATTTATTTAATTCAAATATTTTTAATTAATAATTAATCTATAATTTATATGTTTTATTTATTTAATTAAATAATTTTATATATATATTTCCAATATTATTATTTTCTAATTTCATAAATATTTGTTAAGCCATATTCGTTAGTCTAGCATTATTTTTATCCTATCACTCTCTATATCTCATTGCATTATTAACGATTTATTAACCTATAAAAATAATAACACAAAATCGCACATTGGTCTATTTTAACCCCTTTCCGACCTTAAATATATTTATTTAAATTTCATTCATAAATTCTTTAAATAATAAATCAATCAATCAATCAATCAAGCATTTTGTAAAAAATCCATCAAAACACGGAAAAATCACGACTCAAAACCAATAAAAATTCAAAACCCAACCATTAATAAAACATATTTTTATTATATTATTATATTTATACTTATATTATTATTTATACTTATATCATTATATATTATTATTTAAATATATATCAACTAAAATAAAATCACATAATCAAAATCACAAATTCTAACCATAATTATTCCTTCAAACAACAACAATACATTAATACACTTTCTTTAATTTTATTCCCTTATTCAAATTCTATATTTTTCAATCTTCAATTAAATACATTATATTGCAGTGTTTTCTTATACCCAATATCAATATTAAAAATAAAAAATCTATTAAAAATAATATATAATGATAATTTAACCAATAATATATATATTAATAACTATATATAAAACAGAAAATACAATTTAGTATTACATAACTCAATTCAAAATTCAATAATCCAAATACAAACTAGACATATTGTACTACAATTCAGCAATCTAAAATATCCATTCCTACGTAAATATCATTCATCGAACACACTATTTTAGATTCTATTCCTTAGATTCACACGGATTATGCTAGTATTACAATGCACTTCTTAATCTGAAAACATAAGCACCACGATCGCCAGCATGTTTCAGCTACCTAGGACTTTAGGTGGTCAATATTCAATACACATCCCGAACAATGATAATAATTCCCTTTTTGTCGGCCGAACAGCTGAAATTGCTTTGCAAAATTGGATGGGACTCTTCCCGAGGAGCAACGGTTTTATAAGTATTTTGAAAAAAATGCCACAATTCATACGCTTCTTTCCTAAGGAAACCCGGCAACTGATCAAGGGCATCTGAGCGTAGTCATCACGCGGCGCTTCTTGCGAGACAAGCGGATTTCATGCACTCGTCAGTTGCTTACCCTAGTGCGCTGCATTGCTGCACTTACGCCGGCTACCGTCTAGGATCATCATGCCACGCAAATTGTGCTCTGCCCATGACATGTGCGATGCTTGATGCACATTGGGAATTCTGGCTCCAGTCAAAAGTGGCGCTGCATTGCGCAGCATTGACGCATCTAGTTCTTGTTGCTGGAAGGCTCCGTTTCACCGCAAAGCACCCCTGGCATTTTGGTTGAAGTATTTATCATTTCGGCATGTCTGCCATTGCACGTTTGCAATGTTTCTGCTTTTTGACCTCCTCTCTTCTGAGAAGGGCCCACTGAGGGGTCTAGCCTGCATGCAGTTCTACAGAGTTCCCCGATAAGTTGCTGCGTCGTTGAAATTCTCTCCAAGCCTTGCCTGTGTAAAGCGGGAATCGTTGGAGCAAACATCCTCGGCGAACAGCAGGCGCCACACAATGGGCGGGGAGGCGCTCGTTTTTCTGCTTCAATGCGGGTACACACATGATTCATCATCATTCCCCAATTTATTGTTTGATTTGCAAAACGCTGTTTTCAACCATAGTCAACCAGAAACTTCCTACCATTCCACCCGCTGATTGACAGGGGCATTCATCTGCAGAATTGCAACTCAACTCCCCAACTAAACGCCTTTCATCCCCGTAAAGTGACATCAAAGCTCAGCACATTTAAACTGCTCATCATTTCACATCCATCCAGGTATGCATTCACAATCATGATGTCTTTCATCAGCCACCACGCATCCTGACTTCGAGTCCTAAATGACGTCGACTCCTGAATCACATTCTTCTTGGAAGAGTGACGCAGGAGCAAGTCGCAAAGACGTCCAAGATGCGGGCATATGAAACTGTCACTTGTCTCAGTCTCCACTTGAGCTGTAGTTCGCAGCCCAGCCCTGCAGTGCATCTAATGACTTTTTCCCAAAGGCGACTTGCTTGCCCAGCATCCTCCAGCTTGTCATTGACATCGCCATCCAGCAGGATGTCCGCCAATTCCTCACTGGAGCAAAGGCCCCAACGATGATGTGAACTTCCGCACAACCTTGGCCTGACGGTTTGCACACTACTGGTGACTTTTGGGATCACGGAAGGGACCCCCCACTTTCGACCTTCAAGATCTAAAACCACTTTCGGCCCCTTTGCCTGTCAAGTCATATGGGCATCGCAACCAGAAATCTGCCAAACCATGACGGTGATCATCCAAAAGTCACCGAGACCAAGTGGGGGGCCGCCAAGCCGCAGCCCGCGATCTCGAGCTCCACCCTGTGGACACCAGGAAACCTTCTGCACTACTCTTAGATCTCATATTTTGACGTGCTGCTCAGATGTGCCCTCCCAAACTGTAGGTCAAGTGAAAATGTGGAATCACACGCGCGCGCGCATATGTGAACAGCGTGTTTCTGGAACAGCGTGTTTCTGGTACAATGAGTTTCCTTATGGATCCTCACTTCGAATGCTACTACAGGATGTCTGACCATCCATACGAGTAACAACCCCAAGGAGCTGCATTGAACTTTCCACGATCCAGAATGGAATTACACACTAGTTGATGCCTGGCTGAGTCTACCATTAGCTTGGTTCCGTTTGCGAATGTCATCGCAAAGGGAACAGTCGAAACGCCCTTCAACCGCCACGCTCAAAGAGCTGAGTGGTCCTTTGCTGCCACTCTAGAGACTGCGGGACCTTCCAATCAGGAGACCTGACAAATGGGTTCAGCCTGCAAAGATCCACTTAGCAAAACCACCCAATCCGACACCACAACCTGAGTGGTGAGAAACTACAACCAAACTGGGGGTCTCAACATGATGCCATAGCCATGACTTCACCCAAATTCAGGTTTACTACAGCCCGATCATCAAAGTGGAAATACAAGGTTCAGGTTTTGGAGCCAAGGCTAAATAAACACGGGCCAAGGGAAAAGCAGCACGTCAAAAAGGTTGGCTTTGGGCAACAAAGTTTAACATGGGATCTTCGTCAACCAGAATCAGCTTTTGCTTCTCCATGAAGAGACTGAAAGCCAGGGGCAATTCATTGGAATCATACGCCCTCTTCAGGGGATATTTAGAATGATCGCGTCTGCAAGTCACCTTTAAGCCTCAACTCATTTTGGCCATCTCCACTTTACATATTAGGACTGACGGTAGCGGGATTCCAAACATGTTTCCTTTGCACATCACCCAAAAACTCAGTCTCAAAAGCCAAAAGGGCAGTCAACCCCCGAAAACCCAATTTCCACACACAAAGGCACCTCACCAACCAACACCAAAACCTCCAAGAACTGCAAACCCCGAACACAAAACCCCAAACCCCAAAACCAAACCCCAAACACTTCAAACCACCCTAGAAACCCAAGACCCTCAAGCAAAAGGCCAAGTCGTTGAAGCCAGGAGGTTGGAGCTTCGGATCGCCTCCTGGAGCTCTTGGAGCTCCTCGGCCACCACCACGCGGGTAGGCTGCGCCCCCCGAAGCCCTTGCCTCGAAGGTGGAGACTCCGTTTGGAAGCTTTTCCCTCTTTTCGTCTTTTGGGGAATCCCCTTTTTGGATTTTGAGGGAAAGCCTTTCTTTTTCAGGGTAGGTGGAATGAGCCGGATAAGCCAAATCTTAAGCTTGGACTAGATGGGATTAGGTTTTCCTTGTTTTTCTTCATTTTTTTCTCACAGTGATTTAGTAGGGGTTCAACCGTTACCTTTGTTGCTGGTTGCCCGAGAAGCACATGCTCAGCGCTTTACAAAACTACACATAAAATGGAACCACTTGAGGAAATGGACACCATCTCCTTTTGCTACAGCTCTTGTTTCCACACACACGCATACAGAACATGGTACCTCAACAACTTCTGTTACCTTGTGATGGCCTGAGTCCCAGATGGCAAAACTATACAATGGTAGTCAACATACGAAACACAACAGGATGGTGACAGCCTCACTGAGTTGGGGGAGGGGGGTTATCTCATTTTCAATCTCACCTGCGGGCAGCTTGTCGTTGACGTTCCCGAGCAGCTCTGGCACGAGCAGCTCTACTGTCACCAGCCCAGCTCCCCAAATCTTCTGCATCACTTTCGTCTGGTCGGCCCCATCAGCCAGTCAGCTGCTTCGCCATGCCGGATCTGCCAAACATCTGGTGAAGCATCCATCTCTACCATTTTCGCAACGCAATCATGGGGGGAGGGGGAGGAACTGGGGTTACATGTGTTTTTCACATGCTTTTGAAACCTGGTTGGGACTGGATGAGGCCCAATTATTCTTGCATCAATTTCGGGCTCATGATGTTTCATGTCATAAATCGATTGCACCCCATGAGTGCGTGATTTCAGAAATTAATCGGCTAAACATGGCAAGTGTTCGAGAAACCACCTGTTGTGAAGCTTTTTGAACCTGTTTGAACCTGTTCAGAGACAGGATTGATTTATTGAATGGTGCGTTGCGCGTTTGATTGCTATTGTTTGCATTTGTTTGCTATTTTGTGCCATTCGTCCTCTTGACTGGTAGTTTGCAGCCATCAATCAATCAGGGGATGTCAGGGGCCAGCATTTTGAGCGCATGAACAAGCAAATCAGCGGGTGGCAGTCTCTCTGGTGAGCACGCTCCCCCCTACTTGCAATGAGCTTTGGCTTGGGGGCTGGTGGTGCCCACCCACACCACCCCCACCAACAAAGTCCCACAATACATAACTTTGAGGGGGGGGACAGCTAGTCCACTTAGTGCAGAGGGTGCTGCATTTCCTTGACTCCACGAACAGAAACGCATGGACCGCGATTGCCAAAGAAACGTCTCCCAAACCAATTCTGCAACTCACCTGCCAACAGAAAGGACTCTTTGCATTTTTCCCCTTTTCGTGACACCAACCTGATCAATACCCAGCCATATGTTTCGTCACTCAGGGTACCCTTTTTGCCACCAAGTGGCGACGTCGGACATTTTTATTTTGCCGCCCTGCCTTTGGACGATTGACTTTAGCGCCTGGAAATCCGGCGACTCCGCTTCCGGCTCCTCAGGCTCCTCAGGCTCCTCGGGCTCGGGCGTGAGGGGTGAACAAAAATTGACGCCCAACAAATTGCATTTGCCTCAAGTTACATGAAACATGCTTGAAGAAATTGCCGTTCAAACAAAGGGCTTGGTTTCTTCACATTTCGCCAACCCGCTGAGGCTCCTCGGGCTTTGGCTGCGGCTCCGCGGGCTCGGGCAAAGAAGGGCGGTACGAGGACAAGAAGACCATCCTACGGGCCCAAAGCTTCCCCCAGACCCTCGGAAACCAAACTACCAACTAGGGGCAAAGTGAGTTCTAAACACACACACACACACACACACCAAAAACAACAACAACATAGTGATACAAAGTTTCCGGTCACGAAAGCATGTGGATCAACCAGCTACAGCCAAACTTTCAAAAGCTCGATTCGCCAATTGCAATCGAAGGGGCTCGTTGCCATGATTTGCGAGCACTGCCGAGTCAGGTGGGCACACCAGCGTGACATAAACCCGGCCAGGGCTTTCCAGCCGAATGTTTAGATCTACAGAATCTCCTGGGCCTGCGTGAAACACCATGTCGGCCTTGCTCCTGGTGCGGCACTTCGTCTTCTGCGCGCCTCATGGTGGATGAGACGAGAAAAGATCGGTAAGAGGAAGCTATGAGTCCTGGTTGATTAAGAGAGGAATGCCGCCCAAGGTGGAGACTTCTCTAAGCCTTGAGGAATGTAGCTTTAGACTGGTTTGTTTGCTGGTTTGGAGCAGCTTCCAGCGACTGCGTTTCAGAGGGCCCCTCGGAGAAGCTCAGGCACGATGGAAGAGAGTCCGGAGTTCGCCATCTCTCGGCACGTTTTCCCGCAAAAGTCGGGAAGTATGCTTGTGGGTTTGTCTCATAGGAGATTACCACTAAACATGTACCGGGCTTTAGTTTGCCCTGAACTCCCTTTGAACAACAAATGCATAATGGGCACTGTCAAACAAACAAACACACTCCTGCAGCCAAGGGTAAACGGGGAACAGGCCGCCATTCACAAGGGGATGCTTCACATTTTGGGAAAAACACCTAAACCACAAGGTTGATGAATCGGGCACATTCAGTCTTGCTTTGAACATGGAACAACTCAAGAACAGTTGCCACGCAGGTAGAACCTTTGGACATCACGTACATACAGATTCGTATCCAACCATTTGTGAGGGTATTCCCAATCAACCACGTACCTACACACACGCACACAAATCCGCACCTAAATGCGATCCACCAAACAATCCCCAATTAACATCTGCACGTCAAGGGTCTTTTTGAGGCTGGTTTAAAGGGAGCAAAAGGAAACAAGGGAAAAATCGGCCCCGGTCTATTTCAGAGGGAGCCACTTCCAACAAACGAAGCAAATAGGAAAGCAAGCCACTCGGCAACTGGGAATTGTCTATCGGCAAAGCAGCCTTTGCCTTCCTTGGAGTGCTTGGAGGTCACCTCCAGCACAGGCAGCTGGCCTTGCGCTTGTTTCGGCACCGCGCGCTTGGTGGGGCCCTGGATGTATGCACGCACCTGAGAAAAAATGTCTCACAAGTGGACACGAATCCAAAGGAAACCACCGATTTGGGGTGACATGCTCCTGGTTAGCTGACAGAGTCACCCTGTAAAATGGCGGGGGAAGGAGGCATTCAGTATCGTACCAAAAAGCAAGGCTCAAGGGCACATAACCCCTTGTTCAATTCTCTTGGCCGCAGCTGGCTGGGGAGGCCAAAAAACCAAACAGTTGAACACGTTCGCGGACACATTAAATGGCGGCGTCTCAAAATTGGGAACCACCTGGTGATTCCATCTTGGTTGCCCTTTAAAACAACCCAAACCGTGGATATATGTGGATGCCCCAAAATCACACACTCAAATATGGCGAAACCAAGGCGCCGGGCCCGCGGTTCTGATCTGCACTGTGATGCTAGGTCTCAGGCCGCTTTCCCCCTGCTCGGTGGCAACCTGGTATAGGCTGCAGGTCTCGCCGTAATGCCAGCCGAAGTAGGCGCAAAAGAAGTGCTCGCAGAAATCGTCCAGGGTCCTGGATCGTGTTGAGCTGACAGGGCCCCAACTATATTTCCAAGCTGAAAACATCACCCCGATCCTCAAAGGTGATGTTTCAAACCACCAGCCAGGGCAGTTTAACCTCTTCCAACAGCTATTTCTTTGGTACTTAGTAGGGAAACAAAGTCATGTTCCAAGAGGAGAAAAGGTTCAAGGTCATACTAAGAAGCAACCAAGGGTCATCCACCAAGTTCCATCTTTGGCCTTCTTCGCGTTCATGTCCTCCCGAACAGCTTCATGCACGGAGTCCCAGGCGGAATCTCCGTCAGAAAACTTGCCCTTCCATTCAATGCCTGCCCCCCAGGGATTGCGTATGTGGACCATCTTCAGCATCTCCCCATCGACCTGGTTGAACGTAGAATGACCCTTTCTGTGATCCAAAGTGGGAATCCCTGCAAATACGTGGTCAATTTCGAAACAGATCCCTTGGAATCACACAAAATTGACCTGAAACCAATCTTGGGTATGAGGTGGGGGGGAAATGAGTGGTTTGCTTTGGTTCCCTTAAAATCCCTTAATGCCATCCCCAAAAAGAGTACCGAGGGAACCCCCTCCAAACAAAACGATGCGACCCGCGTGTCAAATGGACTCAACCCCAACTTGCCACCAGCGACGGTCTCAACTTCGCGTAGGCCGAGGACAGTGTAGGCGTGCAGAGGTGCGATGCCCTTCTCCCACTTACCCTTGGAGGCACAGCCCAGGAGGCCCCCCGTACTGGCGCACTCTCGCATCAGCCGGTACAGCTCCTTGCGCTGTACAGCCCCCAAAAAGCGGAACCTTTTGCTGGTTGTTGGTGGGAAAGCACACATTCTCCCGAAAACATATAAGAAAACAAAGATCAAACCACAAAGCAGCGAAGGCTCCTTTTTGTCCTCTGGGTCGGGCCGATATGACCGCAGCTTGATGGTTTGCGGCATGGTGAGGCCAGTTAGTGCCAGAAACGCGTCTGGCTGTGACCCGCTCTTGATGGCATAATAGCCTCGGCTTGCCCAAATGATCAATAGGCGGGCAGTTGAGAACCTTGCATGGAAACAAGCCCTATCTGCGTGATGAGTGGCTGCCACACAGCTTGGCGTAGGCCTTCTCAACCAAGGATACCCAGAAGTCCCCATTCCGCGCAGCGGCAAAAAACAAGCGATTCGGCTTGCGGCAAGGCAGTTGGTCGTCCACGACCACCACCCGCCACTCCCCATCCTGCCAGAAGCGCACCGCGTAGATGCCTGAGCGGACAGGCTTGTTCGAATTCAGGAGGGTTGCTTGCTTGTTTGCGGGGACCCCAACCCCAATTTTAAAGAAAACCATAGACTCTGGACCACAAAGAGGTGTCGCCCTTGAAACTCATTTGTCGATTGTTCCAAAGGCCAGCTGGCAAACATAATTTTCAAATTGGAGGGTTGGTCAACCCATGATTTTAAACATGCTTGTTGGAAGGCCACGAATTGAATTGGGCTTTCTTTACAATATATGGCCTTGAGCAGCCCGGCATCAAAACGTGGGTTGGAACAAGCGGATAGCTCAACTATTCAAAGAGCAGTTCGCTTCCCTCCCGTCTTCGGGTCCATTTTAAAGTGCCATATGATTCTTTGTGGGAATGGAGGTTTTCCTTTGAACCAGCCTGAAAAGCGTACCCTCAAACAATTACAAACCTAAGTCTCAGCCTGGGGAGACCTGCAAACTGGCTGGTTTCCCTTTGGTCTCCCTTCAAAACAAACGCCAACATCCCCAACCCCAAAAAACAAACACAAAACACCCAAAAAAGGGTACCCGACAAAACACCCACCCACCTGTCAAAACAGAGCCCGCCCGAGGTGCCCTCTGGGTTGATGGTTTGCGCTCCGGGCAGGAGCCTTGCCATGAAGGCCGGGGATTCCGCCAGCGCCGCCAGCGCGCTCACAAAGTAGCAGTCCCCCAGCTGGCCCTGCAAACATGCAAGCTCACAGTTTTTGGGCAGGGAAAAGAAGGCTGTCCAAACATATGTTGGATAATTTCAACACACCTAAAACATGGTTTGGACTATTTGCCTTATTTTCCAATTTGGAAATAAGAAGAATGCCCAGAAAAGAACTTGCATGAGCTCGTTTTACACCGCGATGAGATGGTTGATCCCCTTGGTAGACCCAAGATTTGACGTTCTTCTTCTGCAAACCTCTAATTTGAACGGCCTTTTTGGGAATGTGTCAGCATTTGTTTTGAACCTTGCCAGGTTTCGACTGCCCTCCCGGAGTTTTCATGCCTAACACGTAGCAGGGTAAAACGGCAATTCGCATCGCGACCGGCCTGCTCGATGTCGTGAGCGGAGGCACCGTTCTTTACCAAAGGCCCACCCTGCTTGGCGTGGTCCATTTCCCAAATCCTCTGCCATAGCTCCACCTAAGATGGTCTGGGGGTTTCTGTTCATGGATCTACTTCGCACCAGCTGTGATGGAGGCCTATAAATAGAGGCATAAAGCGATGCTGCAAACCCAAAGAAAAGCATGGAGACCCTGTGGACTGCTTGGAAAGGCAACCCCAAAAACACAACTTGGATGGATCACTCAACTTGGGGAAACATAAGGACCCTATGGGACCTATGGGATCCATCGTCCATCGGCCTTGAAGGTGGCCTTCTGGCCGGCCGCCGCCTTATCGCTGAGATCCGCCTCCGTGCCTCCGTACAAAGACCCGTCGTTGGGGCCGAAGCTTTCGTCCTGGAAGGCCGCCTGCTTCCTAGGCAAGCGGCCCAAACGGACGAATTGGAATTTGACTTTGCGGGGAACCCACCCCACAAAAAGGGGAAACACGGGCGTTGAACAAATGTCTGGAAACATCAAACAGGTTGTCCAAAAACCTGATCGGCATAAGGCATTCCCGGACGCATTTACTTGAAAACTCCTGGAGGTGTATGCTGGGGGAATTCAGGGCTGTGTTGCTGATGAAGTTATCTTTCCAGCCTGGGCAAGCCCTGGCTACCCCATGCGCTGTTTAGATGCATTTGGGTGGTTATGCTTTTTGACTGGGCCTTTTCCAGAGTCCTCCCCTTCATTGGAAAGGCCGCAGAATGGTGGGTTTGTTTTTATTATTTTTCTGCAATCGTTGAAGCAAACCCATTGATCTGCGCAGCTACACACCCTTTACAACCACCACAAGAACAGCATTTCCAGAACAAGTCTAAGCGGGTCATACCCATGCGGGCCCCGCTGTTGGCAAGTGTCTCTTGCAGAGAAGCACGCAACTGCAGCCAGCTGCCTTCGTCTGGCAAACACCTTTTGTCGTATCCCACGATGTCGGGGGTGGTGAATCTCGCCACCTGGGCGCAGCATGCACTGACAGCCAGGCTGAAAGAGAAACCTCGAAAAAACACAACACACACACGGAAACACAAACACAACCACAAATACAAACAGCAACCCAAGGACACAAACGGTCACAAACACAAAATTGCCAAAAGAACACAACCACACACATAGAAAAACACCAGCACACAAACACACACACACACACAACGCCACACACAAACAAAAACACAAACACAAACACAAATCCACGCGCACACACGCACACACACACACAAAAACCAAACACACACACACACACAACCACACAACCACACAACCACACAACTACACACAAAAAACACACACACACACAACCACACACTTGCAAAAACACTCGCCCACAGAAAATACACGCACCACACACACACACACGCACGCACACGCACACACACACACACACACACGCGCACACACACACACACGCACACACGCACACACGCACACACACACACACACAGACACAGACACAGACACAGACACAGACACAGACACAGACACAGACACAGACACAGACACAGACACAGACACAGACACAGACACAGACACAGACACAGACACAGACACAGACACAGACACAGACACAGACACAGTCACAGACACAGACACAGACACAGACACAGTCACAGACACAGACACAGAC